GCGATCGGTTAACTTGCAACGCTTTGCAGCGTATGGGGGTTTTTTTTTTTTCGAAGATTTTTAGATAAAAAGTATGTTCGACGAACAATACTTTTTTTCGTCCATCGAGTGATGACTATGATGATGTTTTTCCTCCGCGTATACCAATCATTTTACTGGTCGTGGTCCTTTACCTGTATACAGCGAATCGTTATATTTTAACGTGATTGTTTCCCTTTTTATCCTTCGATGTCCAAGTGATGAGGAAAAAAAAATTTCTCTTCTTCTTTCCAGGTACAGCTCCTAAACGCGTACTTTCTCATAATTCGGTTGAATTACGGCCAGTTGAAACACGACTAGCCGGGCTAATCCGGGGAAAAAATAAGGACCGATACGATCTCACTCGCGGCCGGCGTGGGTGGACTATTCAACCCTACGATATACACGTACATGCATGTAAATATGTATACGTGTGCGGTATATCAGTCAGATCTCTCTTTCCCGTTGAAATTTTCCTCTGGCGACTCTCACGGATGTTACCTACTTCATTTTTCAGCGCTTATCCGCACACATCTCTCTCTTTTTTCAACTCTCCTAGAGCCCTCATGTACTATTTTTTTTTTTTTTTTTTTTTTTCGTTTTTTTTCACAGTAGTCGAGGATAATTTTTTTGTCTCTTTCACGTACGTGGATAATATGGGTACAAGTGAGCAAAAAGGAGCCATTAAAACGCGGGGAACGTGAAAAACGTTGATATGTGCAGGTTTTTAGGAAAAAACGTCCACGAGACTCGGTCCAAGTTGAGTCAAGTTAAATGACATAACGATCCACGCGATGGAGGAAGAGTTGCTTTTACAAAGAGCCGATGTGATTACCGAATTTGCCACAGAGTTAAATAATTTTGAGTAATTTACTAAATTATAAAAACTCATTGCTAATAAATGCAACCTGCACAAACCGTGAGTGGCCTGTTAAATTTTAAACATATTTTTCTGAATGGATTTTGAAGTTTGTACGTTTCACGGGTAATCCTCGTAATTGAAAACAAACGTGCGAGTGAGCGGCACTTATTTGTAAGATTAACAATCGAAGATAAGTATTGTAAGTTCATACGTGCAATGTATGTGTATGCTCTGGCGTTACATCATCACTATTCGTAGAAAGTAAGATGGGAGAGAGGGAAGAAAAAGGAAAAATTTTTAAACATCCAACGATCCACACGTGCGTACAGCTTAGCGGACCAAAACACGGGAAACCGGATTCAAAATAATACAGCATACATTATATATACATTTCGCTGACTAAAAAATACACATACATGTATACACATATGATAATATATAAATGCGGGTACGGTCGTCGCAGCAACAACGTAACCACCTATTTTTAGCGGCGCAGGATATACAAGCAAGGCGAATTGCTTGCCGATCTTTTGCGAGTTGGTAAGTATTAAGAAACGAGAACCAGATGGACGTTTTTGCGAAATATACCTCGTAACGGCGGTCACGGATTTCTCAAACTCCTACCGTTGATGTAAAATTACAAGAAAAAAATCTTTTAAAAAATCGACCATCCGATTCACCTGCCGATCGTCAAGTGGAAAAAACTACAAAAAATCTAAGCTAGTCGGTGTGGAGGTATACGAATGAAAAAAAAAAAAAAAAAAAAAAAAAACAATAATTCAGTCGTTTCTTATCGGTTAAGCGTGAACCTCATCGACCCGAGTGCCACGAAAATAAATTCGTCTATCGTGTCCACAAGATCATCTCCCCCTTCCCCCCGCGCTCGCACGTGATATCTCGTTCGGCACGCGAAGGTTGCCCACCAGCTACGGTGCCTAATACACTTTTATACGTATAAGTATATATCATTCAAGTCGTACAACAAAACGTCGCGTCTCCCATTAGTACGTATACACACGCATACGTTCTTTGATGGGGAAATAAAAAAAAAAAGTATAACTACATTATAGGCCACTCGACAAAAAGACATAACTCACACGTGGGTTCGCACGGGCGGTTAACCCAGTTAGAGTTGAAGTCGGGTGGTGGGTGTATAGTACCAACATTCCTACTTATGTGAATACTAACTCTAGTCGCTTTGAAGTGCGCGACTCTCTACTTGTGTGTAACGAGCTTCTTCTTCTTCGATCTGATTTTTTTTCTAACTTGCAAACATATTCCATGCAGTTTTTTTTTTTTTTTTTTTTTTTTTTCTAAGAGTTGGTCTATGGCACACAAATGTAAAATATGCGCCCGTACAAAAGGTGACACGGACACGTCCGCTGTAAAAGTAAGTAATTATTGGGCGCAGGAACACAATCGTAAAAGGCTCGGTGCCGCGTTGCTGTCACACAGTATAGTCATTACTCTCTCTTTCCATATACATTGTAATTACACCCGAGTGTATACCTATCGATCGTGCTTTTTTCGTTCTTTCACTTGTCCATAAGTTCATAAACCGTAGGTTTGAAAAAAAAAAAAAAAAAAATTACAAGACTGTATTTCTGGAAAATTTAATTTAAAAGTTTTACAACAAATTACGTTCAATAGCTGCAATAGCATTTAATGATGCAAACTGTGCAATTTCCTCCCCCGATATGAAACAAACGGGGCCATTTAAGCGTGCCATAGTCCCCGGCGCCTCGGGATGTATGACGCCCCGGGGACCAAAAGCGATGCCACTCCGTGATTGCACTCGTGTATGGATAGAACCTATTATACATGTATACCTATACGTAAACACGTGCGCGTTAAACTTGTTCAACTTGGGTATATATTACATGGGTGCGGGTACAATAAATTGGTAAATCCCCGTGGCCTCACCACCACGCAGTGCGAATGAGTGCCATCAAATCGTCACGGGTGTGTACAGATACATGGGGCAACCTTAGATTTGCGATTAGTGCGATTAAATGGTCAACGGGTGAACACTTTAACGGTTTATGCGCGTCTAGTTGCGTTTATATCTCTTTTGGTTCTCATAAAATGGCATCGAATGAAACTTTTGGCAATTAGTAAAACATCTCTCAGTTGTTCATTCGCTATTTATCTCGCGCAAATATTTTTACAATATCATCGGAGAAGAAATTCGAGTTACATTCGCCAAGAGACCGTACAGCGGTGGCTCAACACAAGGAACGTTGGATACACTTGTACCAACGTAACGCCAACAGACCGTGTATAAAAAAAAAAAAAAATGCCGAGCTATTTGACCGACTTTTCGTACGAAGGAGCGACGGCTATTAACAAACGGACGATCTGTATATATTATGTACAGCTGTCGGAGTTTCAATTTGCTTCCTTTTCTCTGTCTCATTCGTACTTATGTGTTTTTAATTTTCTTTCAACACCCCTTCTTCTTCTCGAGCAAACGACGAGCCCATTGGTACTTAATTCCAATTGGTCGACACAAATTTTTCTCTCTTGACCCTATACAATTGCAGGGCATCGTCGCGTCCAAGTGTGAACAATGTTTATTGGCATACATACGAGAGATACATGTAATACATTGACATGGATCAAACGGATAACATATTATACTTTCGTGGACGAGTGTGAATGTCCAAAGCTTTTTTCAGTAATTTAAACACCATTGTTACCGAGATGTAAAAAACAAAACAAAATAATTCATCAACTAGCTTCTCCTTTCTGTAACAACGTATAGTTCAAATCTCCTTCCCGGAAAAAACACCCTGTACTCCATCAGGAAATCGCAAAAACTGGGTATAATACCTTCCGCTTCGCCGGAGTCTCCTTGCACAATCGGGGCGAAAAATCAGCCAATATCCGTACACGGGGAGTCCCTCGGAAACCAATAAAAAATGGCACAAAAACACCACTTCCCCCCTTCATTTTCTCCTATCCACTATTTCAGATTCCGGGAATCGTTACAGCACCCCCCCCCCTAACACAACACGCTCCCCGACAAATAAGCGAACGAGCCGCGTGTCGCTACTTTTTTCTTTTATTTTATTTTTTTGTGCGCCTATACTTACTTTTACACACCACATAAGTACATAACTCTCCTGTTGCAGCAGTACTTCCTGCGTCCGTTTCTGAAAAATATGCCCATAGTAAGATCTTTTTTTTTTTCGCGTACAACTTTTTACGGCTTGCGGCCGCGGTCCCTTTTGTAATCATCATTTCTTCTTTTTAGCCGAAAGAGAGAGGGATCGGATACACGATGAGGTTGCACGCTTTGTCTTCGCGCCTCGAGATTTTCATAGAAATATTCATAGCTCAATGTTTATATCCTACATTTTCGCAGCTCCAGGGCAATTGTATTGCGCGAAAACTTGAAACTGCTTTGCGCTCATCGTTAGATGAGGGGGGGGGGGGAAGTATCAATTAAATACAGGTGCACGCGTGCACGACCGATAATGACGTCCGGGATAAACTAGTTTTCGAGCCCCAAAAAAGGTTGCCTTGAGAGAAAAAGAGTGAGAAAGAAACTCTCGAGGTGCTATAGGCCCTGCTTAGCAGTAAATTAAGTAACAGCTCCACGGTAACGAGCATTACACGTATATATGTGTATGCGTGCGCGTACGAGTACAGTAGAGGCTCATGACAATTACGGTAATTGAGGTGCGCTCGAGCATCATCATCTTGTAAATGGCAGTTATGTACGGTTGTCCGTCTAAAACCGAAGAATCCAAAGAGAAAAGTCCTGATGGCCCTCGGAACCCGTCCCACTGATAATGAGGTAGCGATATACGCCTCCGCGCTCGAGCGTGTTTGTGTAACTTCATCCGCGGATGGTACGAATAAACGTGCTTTCGTTGACAAGTTTTTTTTTTTTTTTTTTTTTATTCCAGGAAGGAGGGGGTTTGCGATAAATCCTTGCGATTTTACGATGTAACTTTTAATACGGAAACAAAAAAATCGGGTACCTTCGATTTTTAGCGTAGTTATTTTCGGTCGATTGAGAGGGCACTAATTTGATTATTATTCTCTTGTTTTTCAGAGAGCCAAACTGCCAAGGAAAAACCCGGGAGTCGACAATGTCGAGAAGGGGAGGAACGAGCAGGACTGCGAGATCGGTATCGGCCAAAGTCGATCGATGATGAGGCGCCGTCGCAAGCTCTCGTCCTCTAGTAGACACACGTATATTCCTATAGCCAACCCGCATCGTCCCTCTGAAAAAGAGAGTATAGCGTGATCAGGTTATTAGTTGTCATCTTGAGAGCATACCGATTTTCGACTATCGCTTAAAATGAGCACGAACGGTGATGCTCTCGGGGTCGAGAATGGTGGAGGAAAACTTGCGGGGGAAGGACACGAGGCCCGAAAAAAGCTCATCAATGTCAATCTCGTGTCGCTCAAGTGTCTGCTCTTCTTCTTCTTCGGAGGTGAGTTGTATACTTCGAGTTCGAGTTATCCAGTTATCCATGTTATTAGCTAAACTCCACCTTGTTTGCGCAGGAATCGGTTGCCTTCTGCCCTTCCTGCCTCTGCACATGCTGGCCGTCGGCCTCAACGACCACGAGATACGAATGATTTCGATGATCTCGCCCGTCGTGTCGCTCCTCGGTCCCCTAATCGCCGGTCCAATAGCCGATCGCGTGTCCGCCTCCCGCCTGAGACGCCAAAAGGCCAATGCCCAGTCGTCGACGATTCACCACAACCAACAACAGCCACAGCAGGGCATGTACCTGCGAGTCATGATAGCCGTGTGCTGCGTCTTCTCGGCGCTGTTCTACGGCCTTCTGCTCCTCGTGCCGGTTGTCCAGAGGATCGACGTGCCGCACGAGCTCAGGCCCGCCGTCGGATTCTCGTGCGACGAGCACGGCGCCATGGTCCACCAGGAGAGGTGTGCTGCTTTCGGTACAACTTTTTATTTCAGCCAATGTCCGATGAGCTAAACGAATGGATTGTTGTATTGTCATGCAGGTGCCGGGACGCGATCGGCTGCCACCGATGGTCGAACGAGGACCTTGCCGGAGCCCTGAGACTGGGAAGCTGTGATTACGCTTGCTACCCATCGACGCCGAGTAACGAGAAACGTCGACGGGACAAATTTCCCCCGGAGCAGATCTCGACGCCTGCTCCCAGCACGACACCCTTGAACCGTGTCGACGAGGACGATGGCGGTAGTGGATTGTTCCTCCCGAGTGTCATCCCACTTGGCGTGACCAGCAGTAGTACCACAGGTACTCCGGTTATCGGTAACAGCAGCGGGCTCAGGTTGGCCACGTCGAACAGCCGAGCGCCGCACTTGTGCTACAACGACAGGCTGGGCCGGCGAATCTGCCACGTGTTCACCGAGCCCTCGGCCGAACTTTTGCTCAACGTGAGCCTGAGGGAGGCCACGAATCCCGAAGCCGCCGAAAGCTGGTGTGCCTTCCCGGTTGCGCAGCCCATCGACTGTCGGGTGCCCCACGAGCTGACGCTGGCCCAGGCCAACCGGAGCTACTGCCAGATCGAGTGTCGGATCGAGGACCCCTACGACAATGTCTTGGGTAGGAATAAGGATGATTATAGATGGTTTTTTTTTTTGTTTTTTATCATCATATACCATTTCACGAGTCGTTTGAACGTTGAACGCAACCGTAGGTGTTCACAACGTACTCGCGGAGAGCCAATGCAGGCGCGTGATCGGCAACGAGCAGCTCACTTTCTGGATGTATCTGGGGATCCGGTGTCTGGCCGACGTGTTTCCAACGGCAGCGATCGCCCTCGTCGACGCGGCCATCGTCATCGCCACGCGCGAAACGTCGGCCGGGCGCGGCGACGTTGGCCGGCAATTGGGTAAGTACATACATATAGTGACCGATCGTGGGTCGAATACACGTATAGCGCTTGATCGAATCGTCTCTTGTTGTCGATTAAGCCTTCGGGGCACTCGGGGTCGCAGCGTTCGGTCCCCTCAGCGGCTACCTCACGACCCAGCTCGGCCCTGCCCCGGGCTATTACGCGCCCCTGCTGTTGCACGCGGTCCTCATCCTCCTGGCGGCTTTTGTGGCGCTGAGCGCCCACGGGATGCCCCTCAGCCCGCCCGAGTGGTGGTGGCACACGCGCAGCGGCATGCTCGCCCTGCCCATGAGCGCTGTCCGGAAGTACGGGGGCGAGAGCGCCGCGCTCTTCTTCGTCCTCGTCCTCGCCGGTGCATTCTGGAGCGCCCTCGACAGCTACCTTCCCCTGTAAGTATATTACAATATGTACATAACAATATATTCTTATTGATTGTCGCTTGGTTTTGGAAAATATTATACCGTCGTTCGTCGATTCTATGTACGCGCCACAGGCATCTCGTTCGTTTGCGCGCGGACGAGTTGTCGGTTGGCTTGGCCATGAGCCTCGGTGCCCTGCCCGCGGTGGTATTTCTCTGGAGGTCGGAGCACTTTGTCGATTACTGCGGACACAGCAACCTCCTCATCACCGCCTTCGTCATGTACATCGCTAGGTGAGCCATTTTTTCTTTTCCTGACGAAAAAACAAATACATATATGCCCAAGTATCTCGCTCGAATTTCCAGATTTACCGGCCTGAGTGTGGTTCCGGACGTCTGGTGGGCTTTGATTCCCGGGGCGCTCGAGGTCTTCACTCTGGCGATCATGTGGGTCACGACGATACTCTACTTCCGTCATCTCATTCCTCGGCAAATGACCGCGGTTGGCCAGGCGCTCCCTGTCGTGGCTCACTTTTGCATCGGTACGCTCCTCTCCATCTCACGAGTTTCCTCCCTGTGGTTCTGTTGGACCAATGGGATGGAAAAGTGGTTGTTTTTGTTTTTTTTTGCTCGGCGTGGACTTTGTCATTTCGTGCTGATAAAGTCTCTTGTCGCTCGATTTGGTCAGTTGATAATTTAGCGACAAGGGCCATTGAATTTCGCGCTCTGGTAGGGCTTTTTAGGAGCGCGAAAAGTGCGGCACCTACGAAAATTTAACAATTTCATTTTGACAAACAGGTAGGGCAATAGGAGCGGTGATCGGTGCCTGCGTCGACAAGGTCGACAGGGACAACGAGGTGGAGGCGATGCGTTACATTTACCAGTGCCTGGCGGTCGCAGCGGCGGGAATCGCCATCCTGTATTTCGCGCTTTACCACGGGTTTTTCAAGCCGCGCTGTCACGCCCGGATGAACCAGGGCAATCACGTCCAGACGTCGACGATTCTCCAAGGTTCGTACACAATTTGTCGAGGATGTTTAAAAATAAAGAGATTTTACAGTTTGGTAAAATGATTGGCGCTTTATTTTCTTCTTCTTTCTGTCTTTCTTTCATTTTTTTTTCGTTAACAAATCATGATATATCATTATATGTACAAGAATGATTGCGGTGAACCTGTATGTAAAATAAAGGTACGAAGCAGTCACTGATGCTTCGTTTTTTTTTGTTTGTTTTTTTTTTTTATTTNGCTTAACAAACGAAATACTGCTGGCGGCTACACTCTTGGGCACTGTTGATACTGGCATGGCTAGCAACCTGGAAGGACCGGTCATATTGATCTTTTTACTACCAGCAGGAAAGATAGGCACCGCTTTCAACAAGTTTGCTATAGGTACAGGATTAAGAGTGCCCATCGAATTGTTGATTTGTATTTTTTTCAAGGGCTGCAGCTGCAGTGTTTGTTGCGTTTGTGAGTTATTTTCATCTATATATGTATACATAAAACAAATTAGATTTTCTTTGCACAAATATAAGCTAAAATATAATTATAATCATACTTCTTTTTCGGTGTATGTTACAGAGATGAATGGCAAGCAAAATTACTCGCCACTGAGGGTCTATCACAATGGCATGGGTCGGAAGGGACAGTTCCGATATTAATCAAAATAAACAGAAATCAACGATCTAAAAAAAAAAAAAAAAAAAACATTTGCAAAGATTTCCAAAAGAAAAAAACCGAAGGCACGATGAACATTTATCCGAAAAGCTGTAAAAAAAAAAAAAAAAAAACAAATGCAAATTTTATCCTGGTACGCATTTTTGTATCTCTCGAATCAACGCTTTTTTGCATTTATATCTCACACATGGAAAATTTATTTTTTATACTATCGAAACAAGGATGTTGTCTTTTTTCGTACATCAACAATATTATAGTGCCTAGTAGATTTTTTTTTTTTTTCAACTTAGTCGTACGAAATTGGTTGATTAACATGTAATTGTACGAATTATTAAACTATGAAAAAAAGTTGTTTCTTTTCTTCCCAAATTTTAACTGCCATTTACGACAAAAAATGTAACATCACCACTGTATGTATTTTGAAAAATAAAGTTCCTTAACGTGTAAAATAATTTGGTAAAAATTTTTGCGGAATGATTTTTCCTTGATATTTGCACAAATTAGACACAATTACACTTTGGAAAACACGTTTTATGTACTTCATCATTTATTTTTTTTCTATTTTTTTTCACCGTAAAGTTTAATTTGAAATTTTTTAAATTAATATTGCTGTTCCTCGCAAAATACAAGAAAACAACATAACACATTTACAATACTTTGAAAGAAACGTGTTGATTTCCAAAGGTAAAGGATATCTTATTTAATAAAAATAAAATATTGGAACATATTCATGTATTGTGCATCAATTCGTTTCTTAAATTATGCCATCAATATTATGATTCAAGATGAAAGAACGTTTTCAACGCCATATGTAACAATGATTATGATAATTTTCAATACACTTTGGATCAGTACATGATGGAAGTAAAATTCATGAAATTTGAAATCAATATTTATTTATAAAGTTTATCAATTTAAAAAAGTTTCACTTCACTCACGTCTATTTACACGCTAGATTTAAATGACCATTGATTGTAAAAAAAGCGGTCAAATAAAGAAACTTCGCAAAAAATAGTTATCCACATTAAATACTCTGTATTTATTTTATCTCATTAAGAGCATAGTTATAAATACTCACTTTTATCAACTTCACTATTAGTGCACTGATGAAAAAGTCACTATTCAACTTTGACTTCTTCAAAAGGAAACTATCAAATTTAAACAAGACACTCGTTTCAACGATTTTTAGTTCAATGCTGAAATATCGTCGTCTTCATCGTTACTTGGACCAGCCTCTAAATCCAAAATTTCAACAATATCCATGGATTGTTCTTCCTCATTACTTTTGCCACTAACATCAAGAATAGAATTGATAGCAGACAACGTCTCCGTTTCAAGATCGATTTCTTTTTTTTCTTCGATATCCGGGTTTTGCCGTAGCTGTTCGATGCGCAGTTCCTCCGACATCCTACTCACCATTTTTTGGAGCTCCTCCACAGCCTTGGACGTGGCAACTGGAGTTTCGTTCAACTTTTTGTCGAAAACTAGTTCTTCCCTAGTATCCGAGTTGCTGCTCATATCCTTATTATTTTCACTAGGGGGAGAAGAAGTATCCATAGCAAAATCGCATGCCGTGTCCAATTCGATTTCCTTAGGAAAGGCGCTAGAGGATAAGGATTCAGTTTCATCTTCTTTTTCCAGCACTGGTACCCTGCAACCATTTGATAATGCCACAGGACTCAAACGCTCCAACATATCCATTATGAAGGGAGATGAACTCTCTATAAGATCCTTTAATGGAATGTGATTCGGATCGGGTCGGCCCTGTAAGTAAAACAAATTCTTTCTCAAAAAAAAATAAATAAAAAAAAAAACACATACCTGTTGCGTTTAATTTTAGTCTACCCACCTTTGTTTCATCAGTCTCAATACCAAAATCTTCAACATGCTGGAGATAAAACAAATACTGCTCTTGGTACTTGCCAAAATTTTCATCAGGTTGTGCTACAGGTCTTAGGATTTCTTCTTTCTTTTCTGGATCATACTCGGCCTTTGTAAGAAGCGAGTAACCAATACACTTCTCGTAATCTCGCCAAGGTACATCGTAAGCCTGACAGGCCTTGTCCTCCGTTAATACCGAATCGTTACCAACAGCTTTTACAGCAGTGGGTTTACGTTTGAAAATCGACAAGTGATCGAGTATTGATGAAAAATCGGCAGGTATATCAATCGCGCTTATCTTATGATTTTCAGTCAACTCAATACCATTGTTCTCAGATTCAGATTCCGAAGCCGACTCATGCTCGCAAGTCATTTCTAACAATACTTCAGTCATGTTTTCTGTCTTTTTACTGAAAAACAAAAAAAAAAAAAAAAATTTCAACTTGTAGTGGACGCTCTCTAATAATGGTTCAAGTGCAATAAATTTAATTACCTCGGAATGTTGTCTGTCTCTTCCTTTTCCTCGTCATCCCTCTTTTGATTATCCATTTCTTGCTCGTTTTCTACGTTGGCTATTTTTTCAGCTTTGTCAGTCCTTTTCTTCCAATGCAAATAGTCTTTTACAAGCCTATCGTTAATATGAGACAGTTCGACGAGCGCCTTCCGCAACGCTCTGTGGAATCGTTTCGTGCAAACGAAGGCTGCGTTTTGCAGATCGGCATCGGTCTGCGAGGCTGAAGGCCGAGAAATCGACGTTTGCACGAGCTTGAGTATCTTGGTTTTCAGTTCGCCAACCGCATTGTCGATCTCTTGGCTCTGGAGCTTTAGCATCTTTTCGAACCTCTGGTACCGCTGCTGAGTCTTTAGCGGTATGACACCATCGATTGTGATCACCAGTGGTATCGATTCATCCGTGCTTTTCGTTTTCGAGTACGGCAACGATTTGGGCGTCGGTGGTCTGGTGATTTTTGATGAATCTTTACACGCAATGATCATCGGCTCATTTTCGACACCAATAGAGTTACTCTCAACCTGGAAAAAAAAAGTTTTTGGGTAAAAAAAAAAAAAACTAGTACACGTTTCCAATGTTGTAACAAAAACAGTACCCGTTCAGGAACAACATTTTCTTCTGCAGTATTGCCTTCGTTGACGACACTCACGTCCGCCGATACGGTCTCAGTCACGGTCTGATTCGTCACATTCTCGACGATGATGGACTCGTCATCACTGTCAAGATCGATTACACTTGGTTGAGGAGGCTGCTCAGGCTGCTGAGTCGGTTTGGGCAGCGTAGGTATTGGCGGCTGGAAAGGCTTTAATGGTAACGGGTTTGCCGGTGCTATGAGTTGCGGTTGTAAGTGCATTGGCTTCAAGGTCTTGGCGACGCTTTTGGGCACGAGAAAGTGCGTCGTTGGCTTAACAAACGAAATACTGCTGGCGGCTACACTCTTGGGCACTGTTGATACTGGCATGGCTAGCAACCTGGAAGGACCGGTCATATTGATCTTTTTACTACCAGCAGGAAAGATAGGCACCGCTTTCAACAAGTTTGCTATAGGTACAGGATTAAGAGTGCCCATCGAATTGTTGATTTGTATTTTTTTCAAGGGCTGCAGCTGCAGTGTTTGTTGCGTTTGTGAGTTATTCAGAACGACCTTGTACTTGGCTAGCCCCGGAGCAATAACTTGTTCTTTCTACAAAAGAATATTAAAATTTTTACAATTTAAATAAAGTTAAATGCAGACAAGACATTTGCTGATCCCAACCTCTGGCGAGGGCGTGCCATTTTCATCGTCGTTGGTATTGATGATCTCGTCATCGCCTTCAATCATGCTCTGCTCGCATTGACTGATCAGATCGGATGGATCGTAATCTGGCTCGATTTTTGTCATTACTGGGCGACGTTTATTACTTGCGTTGTAGTCGTGCTCGACAAAACCATTGCTGCAGGAGTTACGCACAAGACTGCAGCGCGACTTGCGTTTCTTAGCAGGTGGCGAGGAGCTGCGATCTTCATTTGGCACGTAACTTACGTCTTCATCGTCGTCGTTGTCATCGTCAGATCCAGACATCGTTCGTCGTCTACGACGCTTGCGCTTACGCGAACAACACTTGGTTTCGTCTAAATGCATTTTTTCTTCCACTTCTCGAGGACTCATCCGCCTATTGTTTTCTAGAATTCTGTAAAATAACATTTTTTTATTCTCAGTAAAATATGAAAAAAAATGTAGATCATTACTATTATTTACCTTGTCACTGTTTCAATGTGAAGTATCAGAGCTCTAGCAATAGATCTCAAAGGGTACAAGTCTTTTGGATCGCAAACAAAACACTTCCACGTGTCCTCAGCCTCTATTCTCTTAATAGTGGGAGGATCGAAGTTTCGTTTTATACATTTACTGCAAAATGTATTGCTACAATAAGAACAACAGTACAAATTTCCACCATTGGCACACCACCTGCAGAACATGTCAGTGGCATCATCTCCTACAAAAAGAAGCAATCGTTGCGGCTTATTTGTTATAATTAAACAAAAAATGGTTTAAAATATTGTTTGTATTAAAGTTTACCTTGCTCAAAAGTACCGTCTCCATAAAATTCACGGCACTTGGCACACAACAAAACACGTAGAACTGGATGTTCATGCATGTTGTGTGCCTCCGAAGGAGCTGAACCAATGTGTTCATCGCACGTTGTGCAATGCAGTCTGAGGAAACGTACTGCTGCTATGTCTAAATTTTTAAAACATGAGTATTCATGTCTTTAAATATGCAGTAGGTGAAATATGATGTAAATTCTTACCACTGCCATATGTTAGCTTGTAAAAATCATTTTCCTCGCTAGAAAAACTTTGACATGAGAAAGTTTGTTGTGGCCTGGGTGTCACTGAATTAAAAAAACAAAATCACAATTTATTAACTCATTCTTTATTCATATGCACATTTATAACTTTATTGTCAAAGCAAGAAAATTGAAAAACAAATATATTTAAACGTTTTTCATATGTTTCACGTGACACAAAACTAAAAATTGCTTAGATCTTGTAATTTCCTAAAAAAATCAAATAAAAAAATATACAAGTAAAGCAGTATAAGTGTTTATACTTTTAGAGTATAGCTGAGGTCAGTAAGAAACTTGAAAAAATACCTTGAATTTGAAACAACGAGACCACAAAAAACCTTTAACTAAACACAGTACCAACAGAGGTTGGTGCTTAGGGTAAAAATAAGATACATGTAAGTCAACAGACAAAGGTACTATTCCAAAAAGCTATAAAAAACAACATAAGGGTACAAACATCAGAGGAGAGAAAAATCCAAGTACTTGCGCTCCAAAAAATAAATAAACAATCAACAAGGCATACATATATATTTGTAATGTACACACATGCATATGTAGGTTAGGTATAAATCTGGATTTTCAAGGATTAATAAAATAAAGCGAAATTGGCACAAACTGTAGGTAAAGTAACAGAAAGGCAAAAAAAAAGAACTCACCGTTTTCTTTGCTTTCGGCAACCTCCTGGACCTCAACCTCGAGCATCGACGAGATGTCCATTTTTTTTCCCTGCAATTCGCAGGCCCTAGCCCGCGTATCCGTGTAAAGCGCGAGTTACAACGCGGGGAGACAATGAGGACCTTTCCCTCGTCGTCTTCGAGGGGAAAAATGAGGACGGTAAGTGAAAAAAAAGCAAAAACCTCACCGCACACCCAGTAAGGAGTGTATACTTTATATGTACACACTATGTGTACAGTTTGGTGAATAACTGGCACACACGGAACAGAAGATTAGAACTATAAGTATAATGGTCAATTCTTCTGCTCGTTACTAAATTAAATAACAATACATTGATAAAATTAAGGCTAGAAAAATAAGTATATCCCGAAGATGATATTTTACAGTGTCGCCATGGCATGGCGGGGTCTGATCAGCAGCTACTACTGGAGCAGGCCCCCCCTCTCACTTTCTTTCACAGATCACAGTAGGTATATATTAGGTAAGTAAGTATAAGTAGAGGGCAACGAGCAACCAGCAGCAACGAGGTGTCTGAGATGGCTTTGGAGTCTTTGGACGCATCAACACTTTTGTTATTTTGTATTTAATGCCTAAGTATACTTTGCTAACATATTAAATGTAAGGCCACTAAATTCGCATCATTCGCAATGACACACCAACAATTAAATGAATTGTGATATGATGAATGTTGATTAATTAATGTTGTACAAACTTTTGGTATTTCATTTGGTTAAAGTGCTGATTAATCATGTAAATTTGCTACAAGTGGGTATTTTTGATTGCTACAAAAAAGGGACGAACGTGAGCGCCACCGCCACCGTGTCTCTCTAGTGCCTTCGGTAGAAATTAGAAGCTGTTAGAAGTGGTCTAAACATGAAGCGAGCTCTCTGTGCATATGCAAGCTTTACATAACCTATACAACCATATCATCGGGGGAATTGAACAAAGGTGGGAGTGATTTCCCCTCTTGGGGGGGGGGGTCATAGCTAAAAAGAGGGTTCTAAAAAAAAATTAATTAAAAAGGAATAAAGAACCACTAACGATTCTTGAAATTATAACAAAGAAAACTTACGATTTAAACGATTTTACGTGTGGTTTTTGGAAATTCTGTAAAATGTTCCCAACCAAAAAAAAAACACGTACTAAATTAATAAAGTTACATGCAATTGTTGTACGTACAAAAAAAGTAAAGTTGATATATATTTTAAAATATTTCCGTGACCATCTCGATGCATAAAAAAATTATCATACACAATTATTTACAGCAGACCATTTACCTCAGTTTTTTATACAAAACTTGTCCTCTCGCAAAAAAAAAAGTTTATAAACGAGTTAATTTTTAATGAATAAAACTATCATTACCTATAAGAAACATGCATTCTGAAATTCGCGTTTTTATGCTTTAATATGCTTTAATCGAGTATGAGAATGCCATTAAAATAATCCTTCTAAATCATTTACCTACTTTTCATTTTTGGAGAAAGAACGCAATTCTTTTTTAGCACAAACCGTAGTTTCTATTTTTTTACTGCTTTATTTTTGAAAACCTTGGATGAGCGGTAAGTAAATTGTAAAAAGATTTCCAGGACTATCCATATATATATAAGCCCGTGTGAGGGCGAGTGAGAAGCAAGAACATATTTATTTTTCTCGCACTTACACGGGCATACATGATGAGCTGGTCCTGGAAGTTTAAAACTTCATATACTACGCACCCTAAACATTGACATTTTATACTTTTTGTTAAAAAGTTCAAAGCTCAAAACATGTGTATCACGAATGAGCCTTTCTTTCGCGCGAATCGCGTTCATTCAAAAGACCGCGAAGATTTCGGTGAAAATTAAAAAATTGGCTGGTACGAGGGAAAAAAAACGATCGACAAAGAATCACAAAAATACTTGATAAACTAGAAAAATTAAAAATACATCTGATCATTGCAGGTATATACATGCAGGTACCAAATCAATTCTCGGTGCTCTCCTTACTCTTTTGTGACGCTCCAGCTCTCGTGTGCATATAGAAGTTGTTTACAAATGGCGCGTCGAGCTTTGTTACGTCCCCGTTATTACTTTTTGTATCCAAAACAATATATATTAAAAGAACGCCTTCTTCCACGCGCACAGTTTAAAAAGAACAATGTCGGAAGGCAAAGAGAACGATCCCGAATTGAAAAAAACAGCAAAGAAATTAGCCGAGGAAATTCAAAATATGACGAATTACAAAAATTTGTATCGAGAAATTCAGGTTGGTTGACGTAGCTCCCACTTGAATATATATCCACTGCACGACGCTTGATACCATTCGAATCTGCTTGTATACGTGTAGAGGCTCGTTGCGTCGCCCGCCGTGAGAAAAGACGATTTCAAAAACACGCTGATCGAAGCTTTGACGAGCGAAGGGTTGGAAACCGAAATTCGAAACACTGTGTTCCATTGGAAGAGAGCACAGGTGGGTCTGTGTGATTTTTTGTACGATGGTATAATTAATAATAAATGAATGAAAAAAAAAAAAAAAAAAAAAAAAATCATTTTCAGAAACTAACCGAACCCAACGACAACGTCAACCCGTACAGCGTGGATTTGAGTTATTTGAAAAAAGCACAGATCCAGTGGGAAAGGAGAATCCAAAAGTCCCTGAATTCCATGTGCAACGAGCTCAACGTTCCTTTGGCCAGAATTCGACCAACCGCCGACAGAGAAGAATTGGCCGAAAAGTGGAACGAGCTTAGCACTTGCGATATCGGTACTCGAGCGGTTTTTCCATATTTTAGGCCCCTCTCTAGCTCTACTGTATTAATAGCAATTTTTTTTTTTTTTTTTTTTTTTCAAAATCATTCAGATCTCTCTCAATACAGACCGTTGTACGCCCCGAAGGATTTCCTGGAAGTTCTTTTCTCCGTGCGAGATCCGGCTTTCAAAAAACAACCGCAAGTTGCTTCCACCAAACACTTGATGTTACGTTGTACTTACGTACAATCATGCAATTGACTTTTAATCAAAGATTCGTTTCAGAAACGAGCTCAACTGGGAGTTCAGCCACATTCAGATTCCCGTAAAAACTTTGGCTCAGTTGGTAATGATAATCTTAGAAAAATACGTCGTGTCGTTCGAAACGAGCTTTGAAAAGCTTCAACTGAGAGGAAAAACAATAATTCCAGAGGGACGTGTACACGGAACTCTCCGAAGGAGTCGCTCTGCTGGGAGTCAACGGTAACATACCGTCGTGCAGCAATTACCCAAACTTCGAGGCTGAAAGGACACACTTGGGGGAAAAGGTCCTTCAATCCAACCACGCCCCGATCGCCCAGGAGTTTTTGAAGCGCGGCTCTCCCAGAGAACTGCGAGGAAGACTGTGGTCCCTCGTCTTGGGCTCAGTTGTCAAAGAAAACGTATGACTCCTCGTCCTTACCCATGTACCAAGCGATTTATACCGGCAACGGTTGCTACTGTTAATTTCAGGACGTCGAGTATTACCAGGAATTAAAGGGGATGGTGCTACAGTACGACATCATGGTGGACAAGCTGATAATCAAAGTAAACATTTTTCATTGTTATATTTGATGGATGGAATGAATAAGAAAAATTATCCTCCAGGACGTACAGCTGACTGCGAGCAACGACGACCAGTACTTTGTCTTCGAGGACGTTCTGTACAAAACAATGCTGAGCTTCTCGAGAGACTCCGAGGTCTTGGCTCCCGTGACAACCGACAAAAGCGCGGGTGGCCTAGTCATCCACGCGGTCCTGCAGGGCAAACCAGCGACTCTCGAGAACACCTTGGTTTTTCCGCCCAGCGGCGTCATACCCTTCCACGGTTTCACGATGTATGGTAAGCCATACATAGCATATACATAAAAAAACTCGACGTCAACGACGATGACTTGTTCCAGCAACGCCTTTTTGTTACCTGTACGACGACCCCTGCGCCATGTACTTTACGTTCCGCGCGTTTTATCTGCGCTACTGGTTTCGGCTGCACACGGTGTCGAGCCACGAGCAGGGCATAGTGGCTCTGTGTCTCCTGTTCGAACGACTGTTGCAGTGCCACGAGCCTCATTTGTGGGCGCACTTTCGAAACCTGCACATACAACCGTTAGTAATCTATTTGTATTCAATGCACGAATATTTGAGAAAAAAAAAAAAAAAATTCAGGCTTTTGATTCGCGTAGAATTAAAATTGTCTTCAAGTGGCTGATGAGGGGCTTCAGCGGACACCTTCCACCGGAACAACTGCTGTATCTGTGGGATTTGGTTCTCGGTTACGATTCTTTGGAAATCATAGCCCTACTGGCTGTCACGATTCTCAGTTTTCGCAAAGAAAATCTGTTGCAAGTCAATACGATGCACAATATTGAAGTACGCTTTGTTTTTCTAAAATGTTTTGCGGTTTGCAAGAATTGTACAACATTTTTCTCTACTATTTGCAGGCTGTATTGGCCGATTTGTCGTCGTTGAAGGTGATGCCTCTGCTGCAATTGAGCCTATTGAAAGACTGAAAAAAAAGTAACGAAGTGAAGCCCGTAATCAAGTTAATTTATAAAAAAAATTGTATTTCAAAGCTCCAGACTACCAGAGCCTAATGGTTGATGAGTGTCTTTTTCATTTGTACATTGTTCCGAGCGCAATAAATTTTATAGTCGATTTTTATGAATTTACGCGTTTTGTACCTGTATAATATAGGCTACGATAGAAGAAGAAAATAAAATCGACCAATCAAAGTAATAACATCACCATGATTATATCGAACAAACTTCGGTATACGACACATGTAGGAGGCATTATTAAAAAAAAAAAAAAAAAAAAAAAAAAAAAAAAAAACCCATAAGAGCTCCCGTAGTGCTAATCGTGCACTGTACACCACAGTGACTAAGTCGAATAATAATAAAAAAGGTAGATGAGAGAACGAGGAGGAGGTGGCCGGACAGAATAAGAAGTAAGAGAGAGAGAGAGAGAGGAGCCGTGTAGTGGAGATGAATGGCCAGTGAGTGTACGACATGGACGCACACAGTTCAGTAGTCGCGTCCGCGTCTTCGTGACGTTGCGAGGGGGACGCCAACAACTTTTAAAAACGCGTAGACCGCACGCAGCTCATGAGAGAAAAAACGAGGACGGCCGAATCAAAGGTAAGTTTTATCATCATCATCATCGCCATGGCGAATTGTCGATCGTGAAACGCCGTCGAGGTACCGATCTTTCGTTAAATCGTGGGGTTCGCGAGGCGCGAGAGCGTCGACAAAGTTCTAGCTGATGATGCATCCTGCGAGTTGATATATTCCGTATAGTATGTGGATGATGGGAATCGTGACGGCAAATCCTTGGGCGTCCATCCGTTGGAGCGAGTAACGCGACGTCATTGGCGTCGGCTTACCTCGCCTTTGGAACACCACGGCGTATGCTGCCACTCCCTGGTCGTCCCCTCCCATGTATATTTTGTGTTCCCATCGCATCAACACGACAAGCAGTATGCCTTGAAAAATAAAATAAATCAAAACTCCGATCGTTAACTAAATGGACAACAGACCCCATGCGTTTTAGGGTGAAGGGGTGACAAATCGTCACGGGGATGGATGTAGGACTTTTTCGATCCACCACCCATGCATCGATGTGCGCGAGTGGACGAAAGATAACGATGATGGTTTAAATTTCAAATACTCTCGTGTCGTGGCAGCTATTATTTAGATTTTCTGATCAAAATTAGCTAGAACTTGCGGGTGAGAAGATCGACGGTTCCTCTTTTAATTTCCCTCAACTCGTGTTCCCTTTTGTCAAATAACTCTCGTGACTGATGAAAGTCGCCACACGTTATATGATGATAAAAATAATAATATATGACATGTTTCAGGCATGAAAATGTCCTTGAAGCTTCAGTCGGCGTTACTGCTGGTAACAGCGGCAGTCGCGTTGTCGCAGACCCTCTACTACAACGAAATCGAGCCGAGATGCCCAAAGCCATGGGTGACCTTCCAGGAGAGCTGTTACCGCTTCATGAAGAGCTACAGGCCAAGGGACGAGGCGAGCAGAAACTGCCAGGCCTACCAGGCCCAGCTCCTATCGATAAATTCCCTCGAGGAGCACAGCTACATCCTGAGAGAGCTCCTGCAGGAGGATCACCAGCACAAAAAGTGGTACACCGGGGCGAGGATGCAGGGGAGCTACTGGACGAACGAGGACGGTACCCAGCTCGTTAACATGGACAACGCCTTTCTCCCCGAGAGGCTGGACATGAACAACTACGGCAAGGACCATCTGGTCTACGGGTACAGCGAGGGCCTCATGCGCTGGGGTCTGGAGAAGGTCTCGGGCCGCGAGGCGCACTATTACATTTGCGAGGCGCCCGCCATCAATCTCCAGTACCTGCTCACGGATGACAGGAGCTTCCAGTACGGGATCGAGGTGAGCGATCCCTTGAAGATACCACGAGGACCGTACTTCATCAAACAGCCCGAGGACAGAGTGTTCGACGTTACAAAGCGCGTCATGAGCAACGACATATCGCTGAGTTGTCTCGCGGGTGGCTATCCGGCCCCGACGTACGACTGGTTCAAGGAGACCTTCCACAACGACCGGCTCGTCGCCAAAAGGATAGACCCCCTGGCTAACAACAGGTACACCGTCAGCGGTGGCACTCTGATCATCTTCAATCCCAATCAGACGGAGGACAGGGGCTCGTACCACTGCAAGGCGAGCAACAAGTTTGGCACCATCAGGTCAGAGAGCGTCGACCTGTCCTTTGGCTACATCCTCGAGTTCAACTTCAAGCGGCCGGAAGTCCGGGGCGACGAGCACTGGGGCAAGGTCGTCTACTGCGATCCGCCCCAGCACTACCCGGGGGTCAAGTACTACTGGGCCCGCGGGGCTTTTCCCTTCTTTGTCGACGACGACAACGAGCGGCTCTTCGTTTCTAACGACGGTTCGCTCTACTTCTCGGCTCTCGAGAAGAACGACCAGGCCAACTACTCGTGCAACGTGCAGAGCATCGCCTCGGACACGGGACGCAACGGGCCGCTCTTTCCCCTCTACGTTGACACGAATCGTGAGTACTCCATACATGATACGAACACGATGAAGATTAACGTCTAGGTATCATTGTATAATTGTTTGGTTGATTCCCCGCAGTGACGCCGCAGAACTTGAAGTTCCCGAAAAACTTTCCCAAGGTATTCCCCGAAGCTCCGATCGCCGGGGATCAAGTGAGGATGGAGTGCATCGCCTTTGGATTGTAAGTTAAATTCAAACTACAACGTCATACACGGTAAAAAAAAAAAAAAAAAAAAAAAAAAAAAAAAATTGAATACAACAAAACCGATGTGATCCCGTAGCCCAGTGCCTTCGTACAATTGGACGCGGGTGGATGGCGATCTACCGCGTGGCGCTTACTTGATGAACCACAACCGGGTCCTGATGATCCCGCGGGTCAAGATCGAGGATCAGGGCGAGTACGTGTGCCGTGCGCGCAACGAGAAGATATCGATCAAGAACTCGGTCCAGCTGCTTATCCAGGCCGCCCCGAATTTCACGGTTCCTCTGGCCGACAAGCACATGGATAACCGGTAGATTAAATATGAATTTTTTTCGTTCGACACTTATTGTTTTTCTCCAAATCCATAAAGAAAAAGAACGTACAGATCTAACTACAAGTTGATTAGAATAAATCTATAACTTAGTCAAGCGTATACAGCTACGTGACAGTCGAATATACTTTTAGGGCAAGCTTGACCTGGGTTTGCGAAGCTTTTGGTATGCCCGACGTAACGTACAATTGGCTGAAGAACGGCGAGTACCTGGATATCAGCGTGATGCCCGAGGACAGGGAACGGTACTTTGTCCAAGACAACGTGCTCAAGATCAACTCGCTGGATCCCGAGAGGGACGAGGCCATGTACCAGTGCGAGGCCAAGAACCAACTCAAGACCAAATACTCGTCGGCTCAGCTCAGGGTTTTGTGTGAGTATACTCTCGTGATCCTTGGAATAACAATTCAAGTTCAACTAACACAACGAATTGTTGCAGCTCTCAAGCCGACGTTCAAGAAACGCCCGGTCGAACTGGAGACGTACGCGGCTCAGAATGGCAACGCCACGATAATGTGCAATCCCGAGGCTGCACCACAGCCAAAGTTCACGTGGAAGAAGGACGGTAACGTGCTCGGGAGTGGCGGTAGGAGACGCATTCTGGAGACGGGCACTCTGATCATCAGTCCCGTGTCGACGGACGACGAGGGCACCTACGTCTGCCAGGCGTCGAATCAGTACGGCAGCGACGAGTCCCGCGGTCGACTGATAGTTCTGAGTGAGTTTGATTCCTCTTTGTAAATGTCAAGCTGATAAAGGTCGTACTGGGTCTCCTTGGATGTTAGAAAGACACCACCACGATGTATCGTTTCAGGTGCCCCGACACTCGTCGAGTCCCTGCCACCGCGTATCGTGGCGGCCTACAACCAAAACCTCACGTTACGATGCAGCGTTTCCGTCGACGAGATGCTCGACGTCGCGTACATCTGGATGCACAACGACATGCGCATTCGCAACAGGGACATCAACCCGAATCCACGGCTGGTGACCGACGCCGGCCAACTGAACATCATAAACGCGACCTTCGCCGAGGCCGGGGACTACGAGTGCATCGTCAAGAGCACCGTGGGTCGCATATCCTCGCGCACGAGCATCACCATCGAGGGCCCACCGGGTCCATCCGGGGGCGTCCAGGTCGTCAACGTCGCCAGGACTTCGGTGACGCTCACCTGGACCGACGGCGCCTCCCACGGTCGGCCGATCAATAGGTACGCGATAGAGGCGCGCACCAACTGGAACCGCACGTGGGTCAACATAACCGAGGACAATCAGTCGTTCACGGAGGACGACCGGTACAACGGGCGCAAGCGCATATTCCTCGAGAACGTCCTCAACCCGTACACGACCTACGAGTTTCGAGTGAGGGCCGGCAACGAGCTGGGCTACGGTCCAGCCTCGACGCCCTCACCCCAGTACAGTACACCGTCGGACAAGCCGGCCAAACCACCGGCAAACATACGCGGTGGTGGCGGTAAGATCGGCGACCTGACCATCAAGTGGAACGTCCTCAAGCCGGCCGAGCAGTACGGGCCGAACGTCTTTTACAAGATATTCTGGCGGCGCAAGCGAGACGAGTCCGAGTTCCAGTCTCTGGTGCTCAAGGAGCAGGGCAACGTCGGCACCGCCGTCGTCCACATCCAGCCGCAGTACTACTACACCGAGTACGAGGTGCGGGTTCAGGCCGCCAATGCCATCGGATACGGCCCAAAATCCGAGATCGTGACGATCTACAGTGCCGAGGACATGCCCCAGGTTGCGCCCCAAAAGGTCTACGCCATGTCGTACAACGGCACGGCGCTCAACGTCACCTGGGACCCGATAGAGCAGACGCGCGAACGCGTGCGCGGCAAACTCATTGGCCATCGCATCAAGTACTGGGAGACGGACAAGCCCGAGGAGGACGCGGTCTACTATCTGTCACGTACAACGCGCCCGTGGGCCATAGTCGTTGGTCTCCAGCCCAACACCTACTACTGGGTCAAGGTCTGACGATACAACCCCTTACCTTATATATACAATATTAATTTCAAGTGTGCAAGAAAAGCTTTCGACCACAATATCAATTTTCAACGATTCAAGGTGATGGCGTACAACTCGGCGGGAGAGGGTCCAGAGAGCGAGCGGTTCCGGGAGCGTACGTACCGCAAGGCGCCGCAGAACCCGCCGTCCTCGGTCCACGTGTCCGGGCGCAATCCGACGTCGGTGAAGGTCTCGTGGCGATACGTTCAGAACATCGAGGGCGAGGAGCCGGTGATCGGCTTCAAGATTCGCTGTAAGTTTTACACCACCGGCCGACTCAACTGTCCATCGATGTTTACTATGGTGTGAAATAATGTATTGACGCTACTTCTATTCGAAGGTTGGGAGACCGACCAGGACATGAGCACTGCCAAGGACACGTATGTGCCGACCGGTAAGATCGAGGCGATCATCGAGGGTCTCGGCGTTGGTAAGGAGTACTATCTCCGGGTGTTGGCCTACAGTAACGGAGGGGACGGAAGAATGTCCAGTCCGGCGTACAGGTTCAGGATGGGCGATGCCTCGGATTACGGGAATTCCGCCTCCGGACGTGGGATCAGTACGTTTCTCATCCTCGTGACGACCGTTGTTTTGCGGGCCTTTTATCGCGTGTGAGATGATGGGCATTTTTTTTTTTTTCAACGTTGGATATCCAGAAATTGTCGAGCGAGCTTACAGGAGGGACTTGCCAAAAGTAAAAGGCCTGTTGGAATTATTAAGGTAACATAGTAACTCTTTTTTCGTCATTCCTCGTCGAACAATCAACAAAAATGCCTGCAACCATGATGATGCAAAATTTATATGTGTATACATATCTTTATAAAAAAAAATTTTTATACGTACGATTAATGTGGTATATTGATAGCTTTCGCTATACGTAATACGTATGCCATGAAAAATTATTTAGAAGAAAATTACTTGGTATAGTTTATCGAATCTCAACTCATAGGACCAAAAAAAAGAGCCTTTATATAAAACTACAAGTATATATTATATTGTATCGAAAGTGTTTTTTTATCGTAGATTTGTAAAATCCAAATTCCTGGTGAACAAAAGTGGTATAAATGATTAAAAATTTATAACGTAACCCTCAATATGTATATATGTTTTGAGGTTGTATTGGAACAAAATATTTTTTATAAGAAAAATGTCTTGAAAAGGCATTAATCATAGTATGAAATTATATTTACGCAAATTAATTATATGTAAGATAATGTGAATATGCAGGGCAGTTATGTGCATTATATCAGAGGTAAGAATCACAGTCATGTTGTCAAATTGTTGATAATGGTTTGTCTTTGCCAATAGCCATGTGAAAATATTTTCCAAAGCGAATCTCGTAAATATATATATATATAGTTTTTAAACATTTTTTACACAATATTAAAATTGCACAGCAACAAATGCTTTGATTTCGCACAAAAACTAACAAAGCATCACATAAATATGATGGTATCAATGCAATCAACGCCTACTTACAACACGATCCCGCATGATCAAAGGGACTAATGTTAATTAAGAATCTCTTGAAAAGAAATTTCCGTCCAAGTGTTCAGATATACTGACGTATTATAAGATTTTTACCATACATAGAAATTATAAATAGAGTATTTTAGTAAAATAGATTTAGTAATTTTTAAATATTTAATGATGATAATACTGCCTTTGTTTTTTTTCTAAAAAATTCTTATTTAGACTATATTCACAAATTACAAGAGGTAATCGCACATACGAGGGAAAAATCCATTTTTTAAATATTGTCTTGGTGATTAATTCGTTTGGAAATGAATTTTGTACGATATGTTTACATTCGATTGGTGTGCATACACATAAGCACCCTATTTCACGTATTATTGCCTTTTACATTGTTAAACTTTGTAAAAAATATATAATAAAGTTTTTTAGTAAGAAAAACTTGTTTCCAATCATTTGAGATACCATGAAAACTATTCGTATCTATTTTAATGTCAACATTATGTATATTGCCGACGAAAAATGGCACCTCTTCCAAGTAAAACTTATACGTCGAAAAACTTATATGCAACAGTTCAAATGTTTGTGCCACTAGAATACACAATCAGTTTCCTTCACCCTCCTTCCAATTTCATAAAAAAAACGTGCAATATAAAAGTATCGTTCTATACCAGAATCAAGTCGCAAAAAAGACAACAATTCGTCACTATGACCATATTTACATTCAAGGATGAACGAGAGTTTCCATTTAGAGTAACAATTAAATCAAAAGAATAGAGTTACACTTGGTCAAGGACATCGAAACCTTCGAGACTATCTCCGGATTCGCTAGTATCGATCCAGCGATTTAAACTTAGTGACAACTCTAATGGAAAAAAGGTACCATCAAAGAATAACATTTGAGCGAAGATCAAAACAAGCGAGTGATGAACCAATAGCTCAAGGTATGGATCGAAGGGAGAAAGATAGAGCTGCTCGACACAGAAATCGAATGGGGGATACAAATGTAGATCCCGAGGTTGACTTTGCTGAGGCTACATGATGGAATGTGTCGATCACGTCTCAGGGTGTAGTTGTAGGTATATATTATAACTCACTTCTTACTTTAAATTTTCAATTTTTGTTTTTGTATCTTGTAATTGAATAAGCGATTACAGTGATGTAACTAATACTGATCCAACCGCTAATTAAATTTCGGTACTGTACCGAAGCGTTCGGACTAACACCATAGACAAATTATTTTATTCTATTTTCGTAGTTGCAATATTATACACATGGTTTAGAAAATTGAAGCCGCATCCTAACTTATGAATGATATAAAAAAATAAAATAAAATAATGCGAAACAATACCAAAAGAATTTGTGGAAACAAAAAAAATACGTTATTACGTAAGTATGAACATGTTTAAAAAATAATCAATAAACAACATGTGTGATTCCGCATCAAAGAAAAGCCGTCTCATTGTCGAAATCGTTTGTTAATCCGTTAAAAAGTCGCTAAATCCACGAAGTAAGAGATGAGTTGAAATGAAATCAGCCACTAATTTTGGGTTGATATGAAATTTACGGAAATGATTATGCACTTACACTAGTCTTTATTTATTTTATACAGTTTAACATTCTTGCACTCATGTACATACACAAAATGTTGAGAGGCAGGTGAAAGTTAAATAATTAACTATTTGATTTTTGATACCATAACGATTTATCGCTACATGTACATACGGATGAGTCGCTTTTATATCAGTATATAAAAATACATATTCACATCTAACTTCTTTTTACAATATACAGACCTTTACTTTCTTATCGATGTAAGTTTAAAATTTTCTGTGATTTTCTATTACGTAAGATATGGATTTAACGATGTAGATGGAGATTTTTTTAAATGAACGCTGCATTTAATTGACATCTAATTTAACTTAGAATACAGTTTTTTTTCAAATATATATATATATACGATCTACTTGCCAACAAGATTTTTCATCTAAAAACTATAGGGAAAGTGTGCTGGTGATTGTATAATTACAGAGGGAGGTGGGATAGTCGTAACGTGAATTGACTTTTTAAAAACATTGTAAGATTATTATAATTATAATTTTTTTTTTGCATTTTCGAGTCATATAATATATCAGAGGCGAGAACTGGACTTAAATACTAATGACTCAAAAGTAAGCACGAAAATTCATTGTAATACACATCTTAAAGTAGTAGAATATATATTATCAACAATCAAGCTCTCAAAAGAAAATAAAAAAAAAATAATAATAATGATAACCTAACGGTGTAACACATAAGAACCATTATCTCATACTTAATATAACTCCAATTACAAAAATTAACTTTTTAATTTAAAATATCGTATATTGAAAGTCACATAACCACGACTTTCAAAATGATTCAACAAAGCAAAAGTATAAATTATTAAAATAACTAAAAATTAAAATTAGAAAGAAGAAATTGAAAGAAAATTCTTTGCATAAACTGTGTCACCTTACAATAAATGAGCCTTAATATTTTTTACTACAGTAATTATGTACCGGAACCATGCGCAATGACGTATTATTAAATTAAGATGAACTTTTTTCATTTAATTCTCTTTTTATGAATACATAACTATATTTTACTGAATTTTAAGATGTATCAATTTTTACTCCATTTATAAATACATATAAGTTAAAAAAAAATGTATTTCGATCCATTAATACCAAGAATCATGCACCGAATTTAAAAAAGTTATAAAGTACAAATCAATTCGTACCTTTTGACTGGTTCAAAACATTCCGTAATTATTTATAAAACTTTCCTAAGACATTTATTCTTTCTAATTCATAATCAACAAAAAACCCACAACTTGCCAACTGATTTGAGAATGCTTTAAAACAGCCTTCTGTTCAACTCAACACTCGTCTCATACAATGATTATATTTATATTATACACGAAATTATTGATACAGAAATGAAAGATGAAATCAGAAAGTGGAAAAGGAAAAGTAGTCAAAGAAAAAAATTATTCTAAATTTCTTAGATTGAAATTTGTTTAATTTTTTTTGTGCGTCTCACGGGCTCAAAGACATTTACTATTAATTGTAAAATAATCATTTTTGCTAATAATTAAAATTTTCTGGCAGTATAAAAAGTTTCATCTTTCTGCTAGTCGGTCGATTTTTTTTATAAACTGGATTCAAACTTTGTTGTAACTATACACTAGAGAATTGACGGATGAATAAATAATATGACTGAAAAAAATTTTTCACCAAAGCTACAATTTAAAAATTTTCCTATAATGCATTATATAGTTTCGACCCAAAGCACCAAGCGAAAAAAAGCAAATTTACGAGATTCACTCGTCAAATCGACTTCTAAAAAATCACGAACCTTTGTTTTTTTGAAAATCGCGATAGATGCTTGTAGCCACAAGTAAAACGCAATTGACGATCGCGAGAATCAACGAATCAATAAGACAGCCAAGATAAATATTTTAATGATAAAGAAACTTCAATCCAAGAAACATTTAAAAATCATATATTACGTGTTCCTTAATGATGAATGGGTTAGCTCGTGGCGGCCTGCTGCTGTGACTGTTGCTGTTGTTTGTTCCTGTGCTCGTAGTTAACGAGTCTCTGGCCGACTAGGTACTTATCGTTCTTTATATGCTCGTAAAGCTTCTTGAACTGACGTATTTGGACGCTGATTAGTACAGCGACGAGGATGACGAGCAATAGGAATGGATAAAGACGTCGAGCAATAAGAATCTGTGTCTGGATGTTGGTCACAAACAATGGTACGATACTGTAGGTCATGGCGTACGGTATGGCCAAGGCTAGACCGAAGCAGCAGATTACCGGTGCTGCAAGTTCCGTGACGATAAAACGCAGATCCATTTCGCGGATGCCGTCGTTGTAACAGCGTTCGATCGCGAGCTTTAGACGCCACTCGGGGCCCATCATCGTCACTGCCGTGGCAATTTTTGTGTATAAAACACCTGAAATCAAAGTTTTTCGTTGTCATACGATTGTATACGATTGTATTACAATATCAAAATAAGTCATTGAAATATTGAAAAATATTTACCTAAGGCCCAGTCTTGCCATACAAATAGAATGGGATTCTGCTCGAGGGGAACACGTAAAGGTATGACCACAACGAGCTCGAGTAGCAGGCCAAAGAGTAAAGGAATAACGCCGACCAAAAGAATGCAAGATACGAATGCTTTGGCACCAATTAAAGCCCAGTGCTTGATGCGGTCGAGAATAGCGCGCCGACCACGAGGTAACCATGATACGGCAAGGGCCAGACCTCGTGCTGCAGCCCAGCATACGTACGTGCCGCAAGCTATCGTATATACCTCGTGCACGCGACCTGACAGCGCCGATGCCTCTACACCGTCCGCTGTATAAGAGAAAGTTGAAGGAAAAATTTATTTTTTGATCAAAGATTCAAACATCTAAAAGACTTTGCAGAAAAATATTCTCGTACCATTTGCAGCAGGTAGAGTAGGTGGTAGAACAGGTGGTGAAGGGGCGGGTGCTCCAACCATCCACAAAGCCATCACTCGACGACCGATCCAGACGGGTAAGGTCATAGCAACAAGGCTGGCTATCACAAGAGATGCGCAAACACATAGTACTAGGCCACCTAATCGAGCGACAAACCATTTAGGTCGTACATAGGGTTGAAAGCCGATGGGACCTTCGCGGTGCAGCAGAGCTTGATGCGCAGCTCCGAGGTCGGGGTGCTGAGGTTCTTCATTAACAGCTGCGTTCGGCTCATCCGTCTGTTCGCGTAAAAGATAAGATTGCAAGTCGAGTAACCAGGCGACAAGGCGACACCAGCCACGGATCAAAGCCTTGAGCCAGGTACGCGTGTGCGACTGTTCGAGAAGTGCTGGAAGGATAACTTGAAGCAGCAATAGTTCCAGCGATAATTCACTTATCTAAAAAAAAAAATAAATTCGTTATTCGGTCTAAAAATGTCGATGCAAAACATTTTAATTATCATTGCGGACAATTTGACTCACTTGAGTTTCGGTTTGTACAGTAACGGTGTAGGGCAAAAAACCCGGCCAGATCCATCTAAGAATCTTGACAGGCAACCACAACATTAGAAGAATTGCAGTGCCAAAAATCACTGCCGAAGCAACAAGTCTCCTAGCATGGCTTAATATCGGTAAATGTATCATTTCTTGAAGAGGCGAGAAGTCTGGATCGTTGAGGTTGCGGAGGAACCAGAGCACACCAGGGCGCAGTACTTCGCGCAACAAAAGTATAAATGAGGCAAAGTAGTAGACATAAATCATTCCAACGAGCCAGTGGATGAACATCGAAGTGCCAGGTGCTAAACGGAACGACGATTCACGGTCTCGCAAGGTAGCGTCGAACATTGCTAGGGAACAAATGTCTAGCCACCAACCGCAGACCAGTGGTAGCACTCCGATTTCAACAACGCTCAAAAGTGAGACCTGTATAATTAAATTGAGATGTGAAATAATTGCTCAACTTAATGCGCATCATTTAACACTATATTAGTGAAAATAGAAAAATTTGAAAAGTTACATCTTACCTTCACTATGACATAGCCCAAGCCAAGGAAGCGCTGCGAGCGCTGGAATCCAAAAAGGGCAGCAAGCGCATGAAGGACGACAAGGAAAACCCCGAGCACGCAGTAACCACACAGCGTAGTGAGCAATCCTTCAAAGTGCGAAGCGGAAACCATCTCCTGGGCCCCGAGTAATGATATCGCATAATAACCCACTTGGTAAGGTATAAACGCAAACACCATGATGAACAGAAAGTTGAGCGACATGACCCAAAATACGTGCTCTAGGAACAAAAGCGACCCATCGAGACCGAGCAACCGTTCCCAAGTGAGCTCCTCGGCAGGTCTGTCCCATTCCATGGGGTTCCAGTTAGCTTCCTCAGCTTCTGCTTGACCCTGTTCACGCCATTCTTGTCCAAGGGCAGCATTAGGTTGCTGTTGATCTCCTTCGGCTTGGACGCCACCAACATCACCGTCATTTTCAGCACCAGCTGCTGGAACAGCGGCTGCAGCAGCAGCACCCTGTCGCTCGGCCATCGCTCGAATTAATAATTCAACTGGATTATTTGCTGCTGTAAAAAAAAAAAAAAAAAAAAAAAAAAAATATTATGATAAAATCACTTTGAAAATGCGCACGAATTGTTTAATATTGGAGAAATATTTTCAATTACCATGGTTTGCTTCTTCTGGTCTCGGTTCCTCGACAAATGGCGGTATATTGTTATTGTTTTGACCTTCAGGCTGAGGAATATTTTGTGCATCTTGAGGCTGATCACCTTGTACTGGATTGTCGATAGGTGGAAGCTGAACATTGTCTCGTTCTAACCAATCAGGACCACCAGCGTGCAATATTTGTTCTCTTAGCCAGACTAATCCAAGAAATGTAAACAGCGTACAAGATATTACAATACAGCCGTGTAGAACATCGGAGGATATATTTTCGGTGGAAAACATGTCCATGGGCAACGACATCAACTGAAATTCGTAAAGTTATCGAGTTAAAGAAGAATGCCTCATGTACCATTATGATAATATTTATAGAGAAGCTCAACTATTTCATAAAGTGAACTAAATTTGTATACAAGTGATCAACTAAAAAAACATCTTGATAAAATAGAGCGCGAATTATAAACATACCCGTACAAGATCAAGGGATCCGCTAAACACAGCTCTGTAAGTTCTGCACGCAGTGAGTGGCACAATGCCCAGCCAGGCAATCGCCACCAATGTGTAGTGCAGCCAGTACTTGACCGCTGTAACGACGCTTGAGCATAGACCACCAATGACATCCCTAAGTGGCAGCCTTCTAGGCATGTCTGGACTGTAGATCGGAGTGAAGGAAAAGCGGTAGCCACATAGCTCGCAGTACTCTTTCCTTGAGTAACGCATCCACTGGACCAAGCACTCCTGATGTATCCATTTTATACTCCCGGTGCAGATGCATGGATGAAAAAGGGGTCGATCAGCTAAGCCCTCTGATCGACAGACCCTACATATGTCAGCGCTTAACATGTCCTCCGTCATGTTGACTGTTGAGTGTATTTCGTCGTTTAATTTTCCACTCAGATGTTAATGATTGTCTCCTGAAATTAATACAATTGAAATTACGGCTAATGTATCACACGCTGGCTAGTATCACGTGCACACGAGAAGAAAAAAATATTGTAGGTATTTGTGTGCGTGCACATATTAGTGAGTTGCTTGATTTCTGATTCTAATGCTGGCTGCATGCAATAGTCAGTAAAAAACACCTCTAACAGGCGATCAAAACAAACGATATTATTATTAGCTGAGCTGGGTGCCTAGTCCCTGCCAACCAACAGATAATCATCGTTATGAGCAATTTTACTAGCATTGCTGTGCAACAAAAATAAATAGCAATCTTCAACAAAACACATATCTGGGAGTAGCAGAAACTACGTATTTTTTTTTTTTGCAACAAAAAAATTTGAATTTAGACAACCGAGGAAACAAGCTATTACAAGTGTGATTTACACGAAAGAGTGGTCTAAATGTACTCTTACTTCACTTTAAACTTTAATGTGCGAAGTACAATCTCTCTGTAAGACACACACCACAAATTCGAATACTACATAAGTAGACTACTACTTGTAAGAGAGTGAGCGAGAGAGAAAGAGGAAAAGGTGCTGCTAAAGTGACGAAGCAGAGTGTGCTCTGTGTGTCGCAAAATAAATAATTACTTAATCCGCGTATAACTATATAATATACCGACTTACTTTACTCACACCTTTCCTACGTTTAATCACTATTATATCACTATCACTATTAGTCACTAATCTAATCCGTCTCCAGACTGCTCACAAATTTGACCACGTACTACGTACAGCTTTTTCTTCTCTCCCTCTCTCTTTTTTCTCCATGCGACAAATGAAAATACATACCCAGGTTGTCTCTTTCTTTTGTTTGGTCGTGATCACTTTTGGATTTGGAGTGGCATCTTGGTTGGGGGAAGATTGAATCTTCGTTTTATTCTCTAGTATATATAGGTAATCTTGATACCTCATGGAATAGATCCAACATCCAACAGTCTCAATTCAACTCGCCTCTTGCCAGAAGTTAACACTTATTAAAGTCATCGACAAGTATTGCGGCAAGTGAGAAAAGGGGAAAGGGGAGCTGAACTCACTGAAGATGTATATGCAATGTTATAAGTATATTTATCTAACACGGTGATGCATATTATATGGGCAGGAGAGGGGAAGTGGGGAACCGTCTAGGCTAGTTGGGTCGTTGGGTGACCCTTATAGTATAGGGTCATATAAAAGTGCTCGTACTTAAGTATAAGTAATTGGTAATACGTTTAAATGAACTTCGTTTCGTGACTTGAAGTCATTGAAGTCACTTCTTCGCAGCGTTGCAAACTCACCTTATGTTATAGGGTGGGGTGGGTGTACAATGCATGAAATGTGTACATACATAATATATATAACTTCTTCCCTCCTATTTTCGTTGGACAACTAACTGGACAAAAGAAAAGTAGTGCAGATACTGCATGCAGATGTGCAAATGTGGATAAACTAAACAGAGACTTAAACACAGTATCAAAAAGAAAGGAAAGGAGTGCAGTCCATCGCCCCTTTTTACACAAGCATTAGTTCAATTTACCTGTATTTTATCGTTACTGGTGTCATTTTGATGTTTTGATAAGGTAATTAAGCGTTTGTGGATTTATTCATGGGGTAAAAAGAGCAAAAGTTTATATGTGATGAAGCCAAGTGAAAAGAAGCGATATGGAGAGCAACAACGAGCCAAACGAGAGCGGTACTTGTGTGTTCTCACGTACCGCTGCCTACCGGGAGTCCAGGAAATGCTTTAGTTTAGTGTCCAGGACTCAGCTGGGCGCTGGCGATGGCGACGATTATAATTTTGACGAGGACGACAATCCTCTGCTCGATCTGGAAGGTAAGTTATTTATTTTTTTTTATTTCATGTGCAACACATAGACAGTGTATCGTTAAGTGCATGCATGTAATTATATACATTCATCACGTATTAATATAAATAATGACTTTATAATCTGCTCTCTCTTGCTTACCAGGTATACTTTTCGAGTTTATTCAAACAATCTAGTTTAAAAAACTTTGATGAAATAGTGTATTTGTCATTGTAATTTTTTATAGACTATTGTTTCTTTTCTTCACTATTTTTCGAAATAAGAAAAATAAGTGTAAGAGTCGGTTAAATTATGTCGAGTTTTTAAATTTACGTGACGTCACTCGTCTGCTTGTCGTCTGCCACAAGCGCGCGAGAGACGTCAAACTATAAATTATATATAGTTCACTATAGTTGCGGTATATTGACAATCACTCGATTACCGTGAAATTTTTGTCATTGGAAACAACTAATTAAATATTGTACATTAAATTATTAAATAAAAATGAAGTTATGTAAATTTTTTTTTTTTATTTTCAATAAACAAATGGCAATTTTATTTGATTCTCTTAAGTGCAGTAATTTCTTTAGTAATTGATCTTTTCTATAATTATATAAAAAATACAAATGTTAGACATTGTCAAGCGTATTACATAATATTATTATAACTATACTCTTTAAACAACTCATGACTTTAGAAAAAACACACTTAATTGTACTTCGACCAGAAATTCAAGGCAAAATAACGCTTCTGATAATCTTGTTCAATGAGATGTATCATATAGAGTAAAAATTATTCTTATAATTAGGAAACACTTCACACAATTTTTTCATTTATTAGTTTATCCTTGTATTTGAAACAGAATTGCTGAAACAGACTTGGAACATACATGGGGTATCAATTTTATTCAATTTTCATTCTGACAACGAAGTTCTTATGAAGCAGTACGCTAAAAAACTGAGAGAAGAAGTAGCCACGATTTTATCACAGGAAAACGTAACTTACAATGCCAAAATCACGGTTTTGAACATAAGAAGACCAAAAGAAACCGATCATCCAGTCGTTAAGGTAAAACTTGTTGACCCTAAAAGCTAAAAAGTCAGGCCCACGGTACTAAAAGTATATTTTTATAGATCGAAGTATTTGCGACGGTATTCAAGCAGGGCAGCAAGGACCAGTCCGAGACAACTGTCTACAAAGGGTACTTAATATCTTGGCGAACTGAAACCTCAGAGGCACCAACTTGGGCAGGTTCTACTAGACTTCCTTTGTTGTTATGTCGTGGTACTCCAAATACCATGCGAGCGGTACATGCAACCCTCGGCCGTATGTTCGACTGTATGTTTGTTTTGCTATCTGCCAGTGCCGAAGATCTCAGGTGGTTATTGCCAATTTTAATAAGCCCTTGTGGTGGCCACGATAAACCTAAAAAGGGTGATGAGGCAAAACTTAAGTTCCTCGTACCCGGACTGCCCAAGTCTAATTCAATAACGATTAAATTTCTTGTCAAAGATCTTGCTAAAATGTGGAAATGGTAAGAAAGTTTTTTTCAATGTTTATTAGCATTTCCGATGTATCTGCTTATGCAGTAAGATTGTTATTTAGTTTTTTAGGTAAGGACACAATAGAAGCAGAGGAGGTTGACAAGTTTCACGAGATTATACATACTCAAATATTGGAAATCAGCAGTTTACAATTAGGGCTGTGCATACTAAATAGGCTCGACTTGCCTTTGGTTACCATAACTGAGAACAAAGTAATTATTTTTGATTATATTTTGTCTACTGTTCATTTTCATGTTTACTATATTAAAGTTTGTTTTTGTTTTTGTTTTTCCAGATGAAAGCGATGGATGTGGAAACCATGAATACAGTTCTGGCGTATTTTAATGAGAAGGCACTTGACACCCTACATATAAATATAATTGAACTCGATATGTCAAATGAAACGACATCGTCGTAGCTAAAAAACAAGACAGTATTCATTTCGAGATTATTTATTTAGCATTTCATTTTTAAGCAAATCAATAAAAAAGTACTCTTTAGCCTAACGCTTAAGCGTAAATCACATTTTCATTTTCATTAGTAGTCAATGAAACAGTAAAAACTCTTGTGCTATTTACAAATCATTCTTGGTCAGGCAATACAAAAGTTAATTATTCCATCTCCTCCACGTCTACTTGACTTTGTCTATAAAAAATTGTACATATAGAATATTATTTTACTATAAAGTAGATAAATTTAATTTAATAAATGTTTTTGTACATCAAACATACCGTGTATTTTTTTGTCTGTGCTCCAATTTTCTTTTTTCGTTTTGAATTATACTTAACACGTGATGCTCGAAATTAATATAGCTAGGTGGCTTTTCAATGTACTCTTCAGGGACACTTATACCAAGTACTTCAGGCAGCATGTACGGTTTCAGCCACGTTACAAGTGGTGTTCGTCCACTTGTATAGTGTGCTTCTTTATGATAAAATAGCAAACCATCGATTGTTAAAGTCTCAGCAACATCTTGTAAACATTCAGTAAAGTCTTGATTGCAGTTGACAGTAGGCAAAGCTACAATAGAAAAATCATTTGTATCTTCTTTTTGATCTTTTATGCTATTTATATCATTCAACTGAGTCCTCAACCAGTAAAATCTGAATTCAGTCTAAAATATTTTAAAAGTATTGGTATGAGAGATGTTTATCCATTATTATTAAAAAAAAAAAAAATAAATAAATAAATAAAAAATTACATCGCAATTGAGCATTTCCTGATTTGACCATACAATTACGTCTAGAACATAAACGGTTTCCTTATCCTTTGTCCAAATGCAATCTAATATCGTGCAATGATTCCTAAAAGTTGCTGAACTTCCACCTGGAAGCAAAGACTTGAATGATGTAAGCTGTATACCCCTTCTGCTGTACATTTTAGTCAAACCCTAAGAGTACCAAAAAATAAATAAAAACATTATGTATCAAGTTAATTCACGCAGTTACTTATAAGGATTCAATTTACCTTGCATGCTACTATGAGCACTCTTTTTCCTACAGGACAAGGAACCATTACCCAGTTGTCAGCAAAATCTTGAGGAACTTCTAACATCCATTCCGAAAACATCAGCATGCGTGCATACTCCTTTCTAGGCTTGAATTTCCTTTTTATTGGACAAACTTCCATTTCCTCTTGTTCTTCATCATCTGCCACCTCTTCCATTTCCTCTTCATTTTCCGAATCGAAGGCATTCTCCAAGAGTCCTCTCTTGGCATTGAGCAATGCCTCTCTGTTTCTGTTATGAATCGTATTTTTTAATTATATATTATTTAATGACATTAGATTCTTGTGTATTGAATATAAAAACAAAATGATGATGGTTACTACTACTAAGAAGATACATAAAAATTAACGCGTATAATCATCATAAAGATAAAATGAACTTACTGCTTTTGATAGTGCAATATCCTTTGTCTGCGTATTTCTTGCGGAGTCTCGTTGAATTCAATTTCAAGCTTATTATTTTCTTTTTTTATTCGCTTCTTATAGAAAACGGAGCGCTCATTCTGCCAATTGCTCTTGTTCAAATTATTATCGCATAATTCACCATTTTCAGTCTCAAAGGAGTTGTTTTCCAAAGAATTTTTTTGGTGACTCTCGTCAGTTGGACTTGCAGATGTAGCCATGTCTATAAACATGATTGTGCATTGATTAAATACACTAATAAATTGAAAGCTTTAATAAAAAATTTAATGTATTTACCTTGTAACGAAAAAGAGCATGTCGTTTGTTGCAACAACTGACTAATAACAAGTGTTGGTGATTAGTTACACTATGCTACGACAAAATATTAACTATACTCTTTACTTGTGCAAAATTAAAGAGAAAAATGCACGTGCAGGCTTTTGTGTTGCAAGCAAATAAAAATTCTAAGTATTAGATTTGATTCTAATCTGAAGTTGAACGTGGATGTAGTACAACGTGTTGACGTGTTAACGTCGTCCTATCATCAGAGATTAGTCTCTGGTCCTATTAAGCGGCGACCACATAGCCGCGTCTGCACGCGTTTGACGTCCGTGTGAAAATCCGTGCCTATATATGTATATTTCATCAATGTTTATGCATATTGCATAGGTACATTAGGTACACGGGCCAGGAGTATTGTGTCCGGCGTACCGTCTACGGCCCGCATGGTATAGTCTCCGGCGGGCCGTAGACTTTTTCTAATCGGGCGAGCGCTCTTCAAAGCACCCTCATCGACTTGTATGCATGGGATGATGATGATAGGCAAACAAATTTGGTTTGGGGCCAACCGGCCAACTTTTTGAAAAAAGTTTAGTCTCAACTGTTGAGAAGAAAAATATCATTACACGACGCTGATCGTCTTATAAATTTACTTATAGGATTAAATTTTGAATAAAAGATAAATTGTAAACTTGCCGCAAACATCACAAACCACGTCAACTTTTTATTATCTATCTACAAACTTAGTTGCGGCTGGTTTATAATTAATTAAATGGCTCTACTATAAGTAGTAATAATTATTTGGATCAGCGCCATCTAGCGGTCTTTATTTTTTGGCCAAAAGTGGCTCCTAAACTTTTGAACTCGAGCTTTAGCGATTAGAGCCATTTAGTGAATTATAAACCAGCCGCAACTCATGATGAAGCTATAAAATAAAAAAATAACGATACATGTGTTTTTGGCGGCAAATTAGCAATCTATTTTATGCTCGAAAATTTATCTTTAAAAGTACGAATACATAGGAGGTCAATTTTTTGGTAAAAAATAGATTGTTAACTTGCCGCCAAAAACACATGTATCGTTATTTTCTCATTTTATAGCTACAATATAAGTTGCGGCTGGTTTATAATTGACTAAATGGCTCTACGCGCTAAAGCTCTGGTTCAAAAGTTTAGGGCCACTTTTTAGTTCAGAAATCCACAACGCTAGATGGCGCTGATCCAAAAAATTATTACTACACTTACAGTAGAGCCATTTAATCAATTATAAACCAGCCGCAACTAATTTTAAAAATAAATAATAAAAAACCGACGTTGTTTCTTTTATTTGCGGCAAGTTTACAATACTTACTTTTTATTAGAAAATTGACCTGTTAGTATATTTATACTTCTGGAGGTCGATTTTACGTAACTTGGCTGCTGGTAGCTTTTGCGGAATACAGCCTTCAAAGTAAATATATGTATAAAGTTTATATATATTAACAAATCTTTTTCCCTCGTAACTCGTAACGATACTAACTATGTATGTAACAATTATAAGCTATGCTGTATATAGGTAAATGAAATAGAAACCGTCTGCTTTGCAACTTATTAGATTTGTTCGGGATTAACCCGATTTAGCTTGGAGCTTGGAGCAGCTCGGAGCGTTCCTTTTTTCTATAGTCAATGTATTGAATCTATTACATTGACTATAGAAAAAAGGAGCGCTCCGAACTACTCCAAGCTTAATCCCGAACAAATCTGTTGTGTGCGCGCTTTCGTGCACTCGTATATATGTGTTTTTGTGCAGTCGTATTTTCAGACAAGTCAGAGACAGGGCTCTTAATCAGAGATTGAAAATAGTTTACTGAATCAAACTATTTAATTACAGTGTACTTAACTTAATCAGTGAATAGTGTTGTTATAGCATATCGACAATAAATATAATTATTTGTTTGAATTAGTTTAGTAAATAAACTCGTTTGATAAAAATATACGGTATATGTAGGTACACCCCAATAGTTATATGATTACTCTCACCCAAATCATGGTGTCTTGGACAATAACACCACGAGGATAGTGTTCTTTTACAGCTCATTTTATTGTCCAAGAATTTACGAAAGTGGACAGGAAGTTCTTGCATTTCCGTATATTTACAGTTAACAAAAATTTGTGAACAGCACATAGAAAAGAGTAAGTAAAAAATGAGCGACCAGCAGTTAAACAGCCTTATTAAGTGGCTGCATACTTTTGAGCTCCGAGCTCCTCATTCCTCGGCTGAAGACATAAGCAACGGAGTCGCCTTAGCCGAGGCACTCTCTCAAATAGCTCCGGAATGGTTTCATCCTGCTTGGAATGCTAAGATCAAGTCCGACGTGGGCTCCAACTGGAGACTCAAAGTTAGTAATCTTAAAAAGATCGTCGAAGCCGTGACCGAGTACTACGTGGAGTGTCTGAATCAGCAGTTGGCTGGATATGTGAAGCCTGATGCACAGAAGATCGGGGAGCACTGCGATAGTCACGAATTAAAGAGGCTTTTGCAACTTGTTTTGGGTTGTGCTGTCAACTGTAACGAAAAACAGTATTATATTACTCGCATCATGGGTTTGGAGGAAGCTGTGCAACAGGTAAGTCATTTATTGTTTCTTATACTGCTTGTACATGTATGTAAATTACTTTTGTCATTAAATTTATTTTGTTTATTCGACACAGGTTATCATGCAAAGTATCCAAGAGTTAGAAAACAGCGTACATGCGCCTAGACTGAGTTTAGGAGCAAGTTTGAATTTTGAGTCGTTTGACGTGGCAGATGGAAATCAGCAAAGATTACTGACGGAGCTTCAGGCAGCCATCGATGCCAGAGACCAAATGGCTCAGAGATGTCACGAACTTGATCAACAGCTTTGTCTCATAATGGAGGAAAAAAAAACCCTTCAAGTTGAAAATAAGAAGCTTGAGGGTAGGCTAGACGAGTTTGAGAGTCCAGAGGATATTGGTGCTCCTACCAGCCTCAAGTACTCTGGACTTAGAAAGCAAGTTGAAGCAATGAAGGATGAAATGTTTAAACTTGAAACATCGCGTGACGATTATAGATTAAAAGTAGAATTACTAGAAAAAGAAATATCGGAACTACAAATGAAACAGATGGACTTGCAAAAAGCAGCGGATGCAGCAAACCATTTAAAAGACGAAGTGGATGCCTTACGCGAAACCGCTGACAAGGTTGCAAAGTACGAGCTGACAATAGAATCGTATAAAAAGAAAATGGAAGACTTCAGTGACCTTAGGCGTCAATTAAAAATCCTCGAGGACAAAAATACTGAACTACTTCAGCATAAGATTGATTACGAAGAGGAAGTCAAACGCGCTAATTTACTGAAAAACCACTTTGAACTCTGTAAAAAGCAACTTGCGGAGGTACATCACAAACTCGACGAGCAGACCAATAAATCTGAAAAACTTGAGTTTGACGCTAAAAAGTTGGAGGCGCAGTTGGGTGCAGTCATACGAGAGAGAGATCGTTTGATCATTGAACGCGACACGCTCAAAGAAACGAACGAGGAACTCAAGTGTACCCAGCTAAACGTTGTTGAAAACGTGACGAATTTGAGTACAGACGAAGCGGTGATCAATACAGAGATCATTCCTCCAGCTATCAAAGAGAAACTCATATTCCTACAACACGAGAACAAGATGCTCAAGCTAAATCAGCAGAAGGAAAGCGAAGACAAATTGCCCTTGAAGGCTTTGCTGGAAGAGTCAGAAGAGAAGTTGGCGTATCTGAAGAGACAGAACAGCAGAGATTCGAGGATACTGGAGTTGGGTAAGACATTGGCTCGGAGCATAGTTTTTATTTACCAACGATCGAGTAGATGTAATTTTCATTTTTTGTCTTATAAAATCCACAGAAAATAAGCTGGAAGAGCTGCAGGGAAGCCAATCTGCTGATTCAAAGAGCGAGCAGCAGAAACTTTCACAACTGGAAGACGAGTTGCGTCGTGTACAACTCGAATGCGAGCGTCTGAGCATAACGAGCGAAGAACGCGAGAGCAGTTTGCAACTTCAGAAACAAAAAGTTATCAATCTCCAAGAGAGCCTTTCCCGAAAAGAGTGCGAGCTCGCGGCTCTCGAGGAACGCTACAAAAAGTACGTCGAGAAGGCCAAGAGCGTCATTCGGATTCTAGATCCCAAGCAGCAACACCAACAACAGCAGCTACAGGGTAGTAGTGCCCAGTCACCTTCTGAGCTAGCAATGCCTGGACGATCGCAATTAGATAAATTACGAAAAAGCTCATCGGATGATATGGAACGTTCAAACAAGGAGCAGAAGCTCATTCACGAGATGGAGGAGAAACTCATGATCTCCGCTTTTTATCATTATGGATTAACCAGGCATCGCGAAGCTGTTGATCAGAGATTAGCGGCATTGAGTTCTGGACAGGGACAGTCATTTCTAGCGAGACAGAGACAACCCACGCCTAGGAAACTGTACACGGGCTACAACTCCAAGTGATACGAGTCGGAGAAACGATTGTTGGACGACGGTTGTGACTCCGACGGCGAAGTCGGTGTGTCAAGATGATCGTCAAAATTACTCGAAAAAGGTTTGTTTTTTATTCTAAGAAGATGACCGAAAGTTGCAATCTCACCATGGATGAATGCAAAGCAATAATTGTTCTTGCTCACCTGCATTTTTTTTACCGATTTTTATGAGCTACTCTTCATTTGAAAGAATTTAGAGTTGTAGATGGTAAAAACACATGATTTATGTAACTTTTCTAAAAGTTTTATGTTCGATTAGGTTTGTATAAGCCTACTATTTTATTAAGATGACTGTTAACACATGGATTAACTGAATACCTTTTATCTTCAACAACTACATGATTGAAATACATTACTATGACGATTGAACTTACAAAAAAAGTCGGAGATACTTTGAATATGATGTTTCGACAAAAGAAATAACAGTAAGATCTAATATAATACATTGCTGAAATACACACAATTCAGAGAAAAAAGTGCAGTAAACAGACAATAGACGTTAATTCAAGTGAAAGTGCCTATAACATCCAATCATATACAAATAAATCCATGGCCAGTTGTAAAATTTAAGCTTCTAATTTGATAATCTTGGTCATTTTAATATTACGTCCTAAGTCATTAATGGATAATTTTTTTTTTAACACTAAATGGCTCTACGCGCTAAAGCTCTGGTTCAAAAGTTTAGGGCCACTTTTTAGTTCAGAAATCCACAACGCTAGATGGCGCTGATCCAAAAAATTATTACTACACTTACAGTAGAGCCATTTAATCAATTATAAACCAGCCGCAACTAATTTTAAAAATAAATAATAAAAAACCGACGTTGTTTCTTTTATTTGCGGCAAGTTTACAATACTTACTTTTTATTAGAAAATTGACCTGTTAGTATATTTATACTTCTGGAGGTCGATTTTACGTAACTTGGCTGCTGGTAGCTTTTGCGGAATACAGCCTTCAAAGTAAATATATGTATAAAGTTTATATATATTNAATAGGTCGAACATAATTCCCACTTTTATCAATATTTATTCTGGTTCTTAAAAATTAAAATTGCTACGTAAAAACAACAGACAATTTTAGATAACACTGAGAATTGTAAATAATTAGGAAAAATGTGCTAGACTTAAGCACATAGATAAGATACATGCAACTTAGTTTGACGTCAAACTTTTATCATACATTCATAATTAAATTGTTTTTTAACTTTTTATTTTAATTGCATACATCCTTTATTTTAGCGTAAATTTTAACCTTAATGTTACAAAAGTTTTTCTGTTTACGTTATATAAAAATGAATTCAAAAATTATGTATGATTATAAAATGTAACCAGTGTATCTGTGATCCGTTAAAGATATTTAATTATTCAGTTTTTACATGCTAATAAAGTATGTTTACATATTTATTTAATTTATGAGAATAAATAATATAATTTAACAATATTTTATCAAGAACACAAACAAAATTATTAGGTTTAAATTATAGATAAACAAAAATGTTGTTAGTGCAAGGTATGAGCTATATGATTAGGTTCTTTTTAAAACACAAAAAATAAAGACGCAGAAGTCAAAAAGACTGTTGGTTGTATTGTATCATTGTATGCAAATATTGTAAATGTGGAACTTCTTTTATATCTTGTATATACATATATGTACAACATGTATTATGTAAAACTGATTGCGTACAATAGTTTGGTTTTTCAAAAATTCAAAACTATTTTAATGAAGAAAAAAAAATTAAAAATCGTCTTTAATATAGTTTGTACAGGATATTTTATAAAATGGATTTAATAAGTTCATTACACAAAATATGTATTTATACAGACTATGTATATTGCAAAAATATATCAATTTGAATAATTCATTTGAGCAGATATTTCTTTCACTTCCTTAAAGCTTTAAGAATTATCTTCAACAGAGTATCGGTTGAAAATAAGCATTTAACCACATTCACTTCATAAATATTTAATATTTCCACGTAATGTGCACGTAGTTACTGGACACAAATATTACATTAAAAAAATATAGTTTGTCAGCTTTGTATTTCACTGGATTGTGCCTGACGAATTTTCTATTACATTATCCCTTTGTTTGTGTAATTTTTCAACAAAACGATTAGTTCTATCATCTAACACAGAAACTTTGTGTTGGCAATCTTTCTTCACTCTTGCGATATCACTGTAACACCTTTGATAATAAAATATCGCCGAGATAAAATCCCATGCGCTAAACTCGGGCCAAAGAACCTTTGTGAAGTAAATACAAGTGTGGCTAGTCTAAAATAAGTTAATCAAGTTAAGAATAATAAACAATTCGTCTGTATAAACGTCATGTTTGGATTAGCAGAAAATAAATTAATTTGCTTTACATACTTGCCACATGAGGAAATCGCTCAGACGAACTTCTCCCGAGGTTCGAATTAGTAAATCTGGATCCTCGGAATTGTGCGTGTAAAGGCACTTGGAAACTAGATTCTCATCAATGTCATCAACATTTACGTTACCATTTTTTGCGCTTTTGACAATTTCTCTCACAGTGTTTGTCATTTCATCTCGCGCTACAAAAACATTGTAACACATTTATTTTAAATAGTTTTACGAGTAATTGAAAGTATTTTTACTGTTGCACTTACAAGTATAAGAAAACGCTACATTTAAAAATGTTTTGTTATTGTTTTCTGTAATTTTTACTGCTTTTGCCATAAGCTTTCGAACATCTTGAGGTACAAGTGATAAATTACCTATTACTCTAACTCGCAGTCCATGCTCCATCAGTTTATCTCTGAAAATAAAGGTAAGAAATTTATTTCGTGGGCGTTAATCTTTATAACATTACATATAAAGTCTATTAATTAGTTATACCTTTCATCAAGTAACCTTTGGAATTTCTGTCTTGCAAGATCCATAAGACAGTCAACCTCCTCTTTGCTCCGTTTAAAATTTTCTATACTAAATGCATAAACTGTCACTTCTGGAATGCCAAATTCTAGACACCATTGCAACGTCTCTGCCAATTTTTCAAAACTAAAATACATACAACATATCAGCTATAAGAATTGTTTCTAATTTTCCAGAATGAAAGGGAGTAACGTACCCTTTACTGTGTCCTTCGATTTTTTCCACCCCAGTCTTGTTAGCATATCTTCTGTTACCATCCATGATGATGGCTACATGATGGGGTACCCGGCCAGTCTTGAGTATCTTGACAACAAGAGATTGTAGCCAGCTCAACGTGTTTTTCGCTATCCACGACATTTCTACCAAGGCTACTACAAGTCCAACTTCAATTTAATTTAGGAAGTACATGTGCGTTTCACCATAGAGGACCTCCCTATGCCAGGAAGGTACTTGGTACTGAGCGCATCAAGCTGCTCAGCAGCAAATAATTATATCAGTTTTAGTAATCTTTGACAGGTAAAACTACATTGACAAACAAGTCGTGGAACACAATATCTTATCAGTCCAATATTGTAAAAAAGTCAACTGTTTTTTTTTTACTTAAAACGAAAATTACAAAAACAGTAAAACGACATTAAAAAAAAAAAAAAAAAAAAAAATGTTCATAAAAAAATAGAAAACTGAGGTATAAGATAACGTTTGTCGGCAAGGTGACGAAAATACTACGTACTCTCTGCCAGAGTGTCACGTGTACACCTCGCGAGCCGCGACCACTACACTATATATGCACTACGGATTTTTCAGATACAACTCATTGTCAACGTCAACCGGTCAACCTCATCATCGAATCGAATGCTTCTTTTCAAACCACCTCTCATCGTGACCCTGACTTCTTCACATGATTCTGTACGAACTTTTATGAATGAAACATTTTCACTCGTAATAAGTATAGATCTTCGGCGGTAAGCACACGTTTCGTTTTCCTTCCCATGAGAAGTTTAGATGGGTACTTGTGCTTATATCGATGATCCGGGTGTGTGCAACCGCAAGAAGATGATGCAATTCATCAGACACTATCAAAATCAACCGCGCACCGCGCGGTCACTGCGAATCACACGGCCACACGACGACACATATCTACCACGAGTACCACCCCGTCCACGACCCACGACCCTGTCTGGCTCTGAGTGTTGACCCTACACTGCACACTGCAGTGTCCGGAGTGTCCCTGTGTCCCTGCCACTGCGCGTGATTAACAAATCTTCATTTATACAATTTTTATTCTGCTTAGTGTAATCAAAAGTAAATTTTTATGGAGAAGTTTTTTGCATCTGGAATCACACATACTTAATTGAGAGTAAATACATTTGTATTATTAGTATAAACACGTGAGATACATTTTATTTTATTTTATTTTATTTTTGAATTAAAAAGAAAATATTTACAAATTGATGAATAACGCAAAAATTATGTTAAAACAATGTCAAGTTGACTAAATTGAGTGGATTACAGCACCTGCTGATGTTAGAGTACAATGCAATTTTTTAAGTCACGTTTTAGCATTTTTTTTAAACATTAATTATTAGGTACAGAGATATCCTAGTTGTTCTAATTATTGTAAGAAAAATGAATACAAGGCATTCCATCAAATCTACGTAAAACATCTCAAAGTGCAATTCTCCGCTGCGTAGAACATAGTTTCCAAGAAAATTAATAATAATTCATCTCTTAATAAAAAAAAATTCAACATTCATGAAATTTAAGAACTCTTTCCTCTCCTTCTTAACCCCCAACTAAATAATCAAACGAACTCATTTTGAGACTTTTTTTTAAGTATTGCCGAAATTACAAAATGAATTTTATTTCATAAAAAACCGCGCGTTGCGCTGTTTCGTTTTCGCAGTTCCAACTTTCAATTTTCCACGTTCCGGTATAGTTCCAGTTCCCAATAAAATCACACACCCTGACCTGACACACACAACATAACTGCACTAGCTCATGCACATGCAGGCACCTCTCCTCTCTCTTTCTACCCCTACTTTCTCCCCTCACTCAACACGCAAGTCCTCTCTCTCCCGCGCCTGCTCTCCTGCTGCCGCTATCGTTGCTATATATAGAGCCGTGACCAAACCAAAGTTACAAGTCACAACCCAAGCCTGGGGTCACAAGCAAGTGTCGTATATATACATATGCAATTGCATTGATAGTTTGTGAGTTTGTCACGAATCACACCAATCACGAATTGTGAAGCGGCTGTGAGTAAGTATACGTTGTATGCCTATATATAAAGTGTGCATGAACGCATGTAGTTTTCTCACTCGGGGAATATAGTAAGTCGGTCGGTAGTGAAGAAAAGTGTGTGCAGCGTAAAGAAGTTCGATCCGTCCACTTATACCCCTGTCTCTGTCGCACTAAAGCGAAAGGTACTCGGGCCCTCGGGGTTATTGTGCTGGGGTTTGTACATCGTGTGTTGATGAAAATCGGCCAACCGATCGGCGATTTGCGCGTATTTGAACTTGAACGTGCAATCAGTTGGGTAAGAGTTGCGTTTTTATTAATTTTTTTTGACAGAGTGACAAGAGTCTTTTACGTAGACTATGCTTTGGTGTTTCTTGGGATTTTTTTCGCTGTCTGGGGATCGGTTGCCGTTAACGATTTATTGTTGACTTTCATCGGTCTAACGCCACTTGAGCGACGTGTCGGACATCAAAGCTGACATGCATGCATGCGCGATGCGCCGAGCGCCGATCCGCCGAACGCAAACGGGACGACAGTGACGACACACATATACATCACACACTATCTTCGTTCTTTCCATACACATGCAACACAATGGGTGTCTGCTAGGCGGGGGGTGGGAGAGGGAGAGCAAAAGAAAGGCAATAAATGACGACGATGAGACTGAGAATTGACTGATGCTGGTCACGGAGTTGGTTTGTTTGACGGTCAGTCAAGTCTTCAAAATCCAACGAGCATGCAATACATGCATACATACATACATACATATATACATGTTCAGCTGTTTTCTTCTCTTTCTCTCTTACATCGACTCGACAGTCTCGAGTGTCTCGACACACACTTCATATAGGTACTTTTCTCTACCTATTGAGGCCATTAGAAAAAAAAAACATCGACTTGGAGTGCAAGTACTTTTTCGTGATTTGGAGCTGCTTCTTCGGAAGTTCTTAACCTCAAAGCGCAGGTAGGTTTGGTTTTATTTGAAAATCTGTTTTTTTTTCGCATTGAAGACTCGAGCTCACTCGAAGAAAGAGAAGTGATAAGCCTTCGCGTGTCGTTTTTCATAGAGGGTTGGATGGAGCTGCGAGTGGAGCAGTCGTGCGTATACACATAGATACGGGTTGGCACCATATATATGATGCTTCCCTAAACTGGACGGCAGAGTGGATGATTGTTGTTTTGCTGATGCATCGATTACGAATTAATCGGCTTTCATATTTACATTAAGAGAGAGTTGAGGTTAGATGCCACACGGCGCTACTGCTAACGGGCTCTTCATAAGACGATTGAGGCGATGAGAGCTCACTCACCTACCAAACTACTTACCATTTTCTGTTTTCCTTTTTTAATAATACCTATATGGTATTGAGACAGATATTTTGAAGTGTCTTTTTATGTATCTGTTTGCTGGAGTGAATAATATATGAAAGGTTATACGTGAAATGAAGGTTGAGGTGCCGTGGGAAAACGTTGAGTAATGTTTGCTGCTTGTTGAGACGTTATTATCCAACAAAATTGCACTTTGAACTTGTTTATGTTCACTTATGACAAAAAAAATTTACAATCAGTAGTACTCGGTAACTTGAAAACTGAAATGCTTTAGTATGTTACAGAATTGACAATTTTTTCTCACTGTTGGAAAAAAAAATTTTATTTGTTGGGTAATTTGTTTTTTTATTCACCCAAAAACTTAGGGAATGCCATCAAATTTTTCTCAACCAATAGTTGCTCTGTGTATGATGATAAATGTTACGTAAAATTGTTTGGACAATTAATTAAAAACTTTTATCACATCTTTTTATTGAAGCTTCTGAGCAGCCACCCCGTGATCACGCAAATTCAAATGCAAAACCGTTAACATACCCCTCAACCCTTGTAGAAATAACACTCCAGTCCATTGATAAACATTATAGAACCATCAGTATTTCAATTTCAACCCTACATGTTTGAACAAATATTATTTTTTTCTCATAAATATCTTGTGAAAAAATATCAAATCGCTATATTTTTCCCTTTACTTGGCTTACAGGTTAAAAAAAAAGCATTCCTGTTCAGTGCAGAAAATATTGACGGTCCATCTGACAAGGCGAATCGTCACGGAGCAAAGCAACGTCAAAGAGGGAGCTGCAGCAGCAGTAAGAAGGCAGACAGGCAGGCAAGGCAACTGCGATATACACGTATATAGGTGGGCAGTATAGTAAGATGAAAATGTCGCCGCGGTTGCAGTTCGCGGACAATGAAAAGTTAATAGTTGCGTGTGCATAACGACGAGGAGGCCACCTGACTACCCGCTCGACAATGGAGCTCAACGAGCAGCAGCGGCACAACTCCAGCTTGGTCGCAGGTAAATTCCGTCATTGCTCCGTTTTACCAAACTCTATATACTATCGTCCCAGCCTTGTGCTATATATAACCACCTCCGCCGTACCCTGCTTCTCTCATCACTCTATCTCGCTCGTACTCGTAGAGTTGAAATACATGTAGCTGTTGTTTCTGTTTCAGAGCTGTACTTCCTCATCGCGAAATTCCTCGCGGATGGCCCGTGTCATGAGGTTGCTAAGGTAAGTCGCCTTCCAAGTGTTTTTTTTTATTTCTCAAGATTTTGACTAACAAACGATTTTTGTAATTAATTTTTTTTTTTCATTTCAGGCTCTGAAGAACGAACTGGAGCGGTCCAAGGTAAGGCTGAGACAGAAGCGCGACTACTGAGAATTGACATTTTCCACATGGTTCGCACGTGGTTTCGCGTACATACATGCACACTGACGATCGTAAATCGTCCGTGTGTCGCGTCAAAACAAAAGCCCCTCCGATCGATGTCTAGTATCGCGGATTCTAAGACGAGCCAATTTAGTTTGCGATTATTTAAGCCTTACTGTTTATGGTGTTATTTTTGTAAAGATTGAGATATGGTGATTTACATTAATGAGAGTGTATTTGTTCTTTTCTCTCATGTAGATACTGCCACAGAGATTAGATTGGCAAGGCAACCTGCACGCATATAGTTTCGAGGAGCTGGTGAGTACTCTTTCAGAGTCATGGCATTTTATTGAAATTTTTGTGATCAGGAGAAAGTCTCCGGTCAGGCTCCGCTTTTTTGGTGCGCATCTGTCCAAATATATAGGCATATACAGCGCCAAAAGGGGGTAGATTTTTACGCTCTACCCCTCCAGTAATTTTACCGCGATTGAGAAGAACGCGAAACACTCCCCTCCACTTGCAGTATCAACTTGCTCATACTTCTATCTTTCTCTCGCTTACGGGTTTCTTGTACCTCCTACTGACGTCCCCTCACAAGTCCATCCCTACTTACCACCTACAGCACTGCTTTCCCTTCTCTGCCTGTGTTTTATATTCGCTCTATTGTACAAGATGAGGAGAAGAGAATATATATATATATATACACATATATATATATATATAATGCAAAGAGGGGAAGTCTTCGTGAACCCTTGTACACTATCTGCACTTAGTCATTTTTTATTTAGTAATATGGTGCAACAATATATTAATTTAAAGTCTATATTTCATAGTACTGATTGTTTTTATTTATTTTTGCATGTTTTTAGCAAGTTTATTAAAAATTAAATTAAATTCCAAAAATTTTCTACTAAAAAGAGAAGTTTCATGCTCGAAAACGACAAGATATGATTACTCCAATGGGCTTTAAAACTTTTCTCATTTCAATACCTTATTAAATTAGCCCGCATCTTTATTTCTGAAACAAGCACCCAGTATTATTATGATGTATAAATGGGACCAGCTACTCTAAAAGCCCGTGGAAAGAAACATTACACCCACACTTGCAACCCCCTTCCTATAAATCAGCAGCCAATGAAATTTGCCGAATCGTTCATTGGGGTGGTTGTGTACAGGGATTCTCTCGCAGCACCGTTGGGAGAGTTGTATGTAATATGATCGATTATCACACTTGTGTGCGTCATAGTCCTCCTTTCTTCTCGTTTTCGATGTATTAATAAACTGGAAGCGTGCAGCCTATACCTGCACTATTATTAATATTATTTTTTTTTTTTCTTGAAATCCTTAAGAAGAAACTGTCATGTTTAAAAAACTGGCGCGATTTGAAAATTGTTGGGTCACATTCTTTTTAACGTTGAATTCCACATTACGTTTGAAAAACTCGTTTTAATGTTGGGGTATTTAAATAAATAGGAAAAAAAGTTCTCGCACATCAGTGGACAACATTTGCTGCAAATATGTTCACGGATGGGGCCAGTTTTGGAGAAAGAGGTACCACCATGTGTTTCTGGTGCCATTTCTTTGCTTGGTGCTGGAAAACAGTCATTGCTTCGAACAAAAGAAGGTAAACATTAACGCGATTTAGCTTAATGAAAACAAAAGTGTTAAAATTATAGCTTAATTTTTTTTTTAGATATGCTCAAATATTCTCGAAGTACAGTAAGTTTTTCGACCAGAATCGGAGGCAAGCCCATCACAGATCCTCCAGGACACTTTCCTACGTTAAGTATTGGTGAGCCACACTCCGAATTGATAATTAATTTTAGAAATGCGATTTTCAACAAACTATTATTTATTATTAAATACTTCTTTTTTTTAGTAAATGTACTTCAGGGCAGAGAAAATTCTGGCTCGCTTTCCAGATCCCAAGTGATCTCTTCGAAATTTTACAGCAAAATGCAACTCTACAGGCATACACTAGGTCACTTGTCAGCTGTTTATTGTGTGTTATATGACCGCACCGGTAAATATATTATTACCGGTGCGGATGATTTACTTGTAAAAGTCTGGAGTTCGATAGACGGACGGTTATTGGCTACTTTTCGTGGCGCTTCGTCTGAAATCATGGACATTGCTGTCAACTTTGACAATACTTTGCTTGCTGCTGGTAGTCTCGATAAGATTATTAGAGTTTGGTGCTTTCAAACTATGTCACCGGTATGTATTACAAAAAAAAAAAAAAGTAAAACACAAATAATCATAGAGAATAGCAAGATAAATATTCTTTATATTTTGTTTAGATTGCAGTACTATCTGGACATACAGGAATAATTATGTCTCTGAGTTTCTGTCCCATTCCTTGTAACGGCGTTTATTATTTGGTCTCGACAAGCAGCGATGGCTCAGTGGCATTTTGGTCACATTCAAAAGATAGTGACCGATATATATTTCAGTAAGTAATCGTAACTTTTGCCCCTATTCATAATTTTACTCTGTGCATTTTGTTACATCGTTGGCATTACTTCCAGACCAAAGCCCACCCAGTACCATGAAAAAATGCGTCCTGGTCAGGCTCAGATGATTTGCGCATCCTTCAGCCCTGGAGGTGCATTTATGGCTGCAGGTTCAGCTGATCATCATGTTCGCGTCTATCAGATGCTTGGCCATGAAGGTCCCAAACGTGTACTGGAAGTTGAAGCTCATTCCGATACTGTTGATAGTATTCAATGGGCTCATAGCGGTCTTAAATTTATCTCCGGGTCCAAGGACGGCACTGCTAATATTTGGAATTTCGAACAACAGGAATGGCGTAGTAAGATACTCGTTATGACCACCAAGTTGTCTGGGTAAGTACCCTAAAGTTTTTGGATTGAAAAACTAAATGTGAAGATAATAATTTTACGGCAATATTTACATTTGTAGTGAACCAGATACAGAAGATAGCTCGAATAAAAAAAATAAAGTAACGATGGTTTGCTGGGACGTGAGTGATGAGTGGGTCGTAACAGCAGTTAACGACACTACGTTAAAAATTTGGAACGCTAAAACTGCCGAACTTGTGCGAGTCTTGCGTGGTCATAAAGACGAAGTGTATGTTTTGGAATCGCATCCGATCGACCCTCGAATTATCCTCAGTGCCGGTCATGATGGACAGCTGATGATCTGGGATGTGCTCAAAACGGAGCCCATAGCTTGTTTCCAGAACTTAATCGAGGGCCAAGGTAGTGGTGCTGTTTTTGATGCCAAGTGGTCTCCTGATGGCACAATGCTGGCAGCAACAGATTCCCACGGCCATTTAATGATGTATGGTTTTGGCTCTGGAATACAACGATTGAAGATTGTGCCAAAGGAGCTGTTTTTCCACACTGACTACCGGCCCTTGATTCGAGATGCCAACAACTTCGTTTTGGACGAGCAAACCCAAACAGCGCCCCATTTGATGCCACCGCCGTTTCTTGTTGATGTCGATGGCAATCCTTACCCTCCTGCACTACAAAGACTCGTTCCAGGCCGAGAAACATGTGAAACTGAACAGTTGGTACCCAATATCGCTGTTGGCGCTAGTGGACAGCAAGAGGTGATCGAAGGGCTGCCCGAGCCAGGTGAACTACCACGTTCGAATATCGATCGGTTGATTGAGCAGCTTGCTCAACGTCAGCATATTAACCAGGAGGATGCTGCTGCTGCTGTTGCTGCTGTTGCTGCTGCTGCTGCTGCTAATAACGAAGAACAGCCAGTGCGGCAGATTGCGAGTCCGCGCGCTAGTAGACCGGGTCTGCGACGCGTTGGTGATGTCGAGGGTGTTAGACAAAGCAGTGGCAATTGGCAGCGGGATAACACCACTCCCTGGAAAAAACCCATTCTTGTGCGGAGACTTCATCCTGCAGTTCTTCATACTATGAACAAACAAACGTAAGTTTTGTATCAAAAATTTCAAAAGTATGTTTTAACAAGTTTTTGATATTTTATGTTATTTTTTTTATAGAATGGCAATGTCTGAAATGGAAATGGATTGCTGGAGGCGGGAAATGCGAAGAAAGTCCGACATGTCCAGTGTTACGACTCCAGATCAAGCCAAATCATCAGTACGTAACAAAAAAAGTCGTACTGCCAAGCATGGTTATCGTACAAGAGCTACCCGGGGTGACGAAGAGCAAGACGATGAAGATTTTGATAACCAGGAAAATTCCGGAAGCTCAGGCAGCAGTAACGAGTCTACTTCCAATGAGGAAGAAATGTGTTCGGACTCTTCGTCATCTGATACAAGTAGCGAATACTCCGATTGGATGGCCGATCACGGCGAAAGCTTAGAGCCACCAAAGCGGAGCAAACGAAAACCCGTACAAAAGCGGCCTGCAACTCCTCCTAGTGATTCGGATAGAAGAAGGAGTCAGCGACCTAAGAAAAAGGTATTTGGTTCTTACAATTGATTTTATTTGAAACATAATTTTTTAAGGAAATAATGTCATTATTTGAATTAAAATAGGTTGTGATGGCGGAAGAAGAGCCAAGTACAAGTACTGTGACCGAACTACCTGAAATTTATCGTCCACCGGAATGGCTTACTGAAGTGATACCTAAGAAAACACCTTATTTTCCACAAATGGGGGACGAAGTTGTTTATTTCCGTCAAGGTCATCAAAAATACTTTGACATGGTGAAGGCAAAAAAAATTTATAACATAAGCCGTTCTTGTGAACCGTGGAGAAAACTCGATCTCAAGGTGCGTACAATCTGTTACGAAATTTGTACTTGTATTTCGATCTTTAAACTTGTAAACTCATTATGCGCAACGTTATTATTTCAGGCTCAAGAATTTGCCAGAGTTGTCGGTATAAAGTATGAAATAAAACCACCTCGGTTGTGTAGCGTAAGACTGCAGCAGTTGGATGAAAATGGCCACGTGACTGGTGAATTTTTTACGATCAAATATCATGATATGCCAGACGTCCTAGACTTTATTATTCTGCGTCAGACGTTCGAACTTGCGCTTGAAAGGCACTGGACGGAAGGTAATAAGTTCAGATGTGTGATCGACGACAGCTGGTGGACCGGACAAATCTTATCTGTGCAACCACACACCGAAGACTTTCCTGATTCATATTTCTTGTGTTTCCTCATTCGGTGGGACAACGGAGAAATGGAACACATGAGTCCTTGGGATCTCGAACCTCTTGATGAAGAGCGTAAGTATTCAATATCCTCTTTTTTTTTAATAATTTTGAATTTTGCTATACTCATACGTACCAAGTACCTTCATTTGATGATAATAAATACAATATTGAATTACTTAGGATTACCAACGGAGGTGGCCAGTGCTGTCCCGGTTCTTCCAGAAGAAATCCAGGAAACACTGTATCAACCTCAGCCGGAAGAGTGGCCGATGGGTGATCGTGAGCTGACCTGCAGTCAAATAATCCGAGGACTCGACCAAGTTATGACCTTGGCCATTGCAGAGCCCTTCATAGCACCGGTCGATCTCAGCTTGTATCCGACTTACGCGACGATCATTGAGTACCCAATAGATCTCTCGACGATCAAGGCGCGTTTCGATAATCGCTTCTATAGGCGAATCGCAGCCGCTCAATTTGACGTCAGGTATTTGGCAACTAATGCTGAAAGATTCAATCAAAAAAATAGTCGAATCGTCAAGCAGGCGAGAATCGTTACTGACATCTGTTTGCGCATCATCAAGTAAGTTTAGCAACAATGAGAAAAATCTTTATTTATCTTTTCTATGCATTGAAACACGTTTATTTTTAAAATTATAGCAAAGATGGAGCTGAGTATGGAGACGTCACTGCCTTGTACCACGAAATAGCAGATAGTTATCACGAAACTTCAGATTCGGACATTGACGTTGAAAATGATGACACCAACAGGCCTTCTACAAGCTCTAGCCGACCTCGACGAACGGCTAATTCGAGTAGTAGGCACAAGAAAACTCAAAATTTTAACAAAGACTGGAGGGTAGCTTGTAAACAACTTTTAGAAACACTGTGGCAGTGTAAAGATTCTATGCCATTTAGGTAAATATGTTTTCTAAGCCATTTGTGTACATATGTTATTCAAGACATTTTTGTACGTATCTTAAATATGAAATTTATTGTTTACAGAGCACCCGTGGACAGTTTAGAGCATCCAGATTACCAACAAATTATAGATACCCCAATGGATCTTCAAACAGTTAGGGAAGAGCTCATGGGAGGTAATTACGAGTCTCCCAACGAATTTGCCAAAGATATAAAATTAATATTCTCTAATAGTAAAAGTTACAATACAAATCCAAAGTCAAAGGTAAGTTGGCATTTGTTTCCACACTTTTAAGCTTTCAGTTATATAGTTTGTTTTAATGTAATAATTTTGTTTTTTCAGATCTATTGTATGACTGTTCGGCTATCAGCTATGTTTGAGGAACACATGCACAGCATACTGAGTAGTTGGAAATCTGCTTCGCGGCGAAAAAATAATGTTAAAAACAAGAAATCGCGTCCAAAAAAGCAGTTAACGAATGGAGCATCTAGAAAAAGGAAAATCGTTAGTGACGAAGAGGAAGAAGACGAGAATATTCACAATGATGTTCCGGTGGAAAATAATAACGGGGCTGATAAAGAAGAGGCTAGTAATTCTCGAACAAAAAGGCCGAGAAATTGTGATTTAGCAGGTCCTTCTACCCTTGTAAATGGTTATCCTAAACGAGTGGCAGAATCGTCTGGTCTTTCTTTACGGCCTCGAAACAAAAGAAAACTCTCGCATTCGAATGACGATGATGATGAGTTTGAGAGTGAAATCTCTAACGAAAGCGTGAGTGAATCGAGCCATGATGACGAAAGACCCAAACGAAACAAAAGATCTCGAAATATGCGTTCAGTTAATGGTTATGGCAATGGTAGTGATTCAGATGAGTATGTACCAAGTGCCAAAGGTAAGCAGTCGAAAAAAAATCAAGCCAAAAATAGTAGCCCTGTCAAGAAAACAAGACCTAATCGAACTCCGGAAAAAAAACAAATCATCGAAGAAAATTCCGAGGAAGAAGAGGAAGAAGAAGAGGACGCAATTGAAGACCACGAGATTGACGACGACGACGATGACGACGATGATAATGATGAAAATTATGTTGTTGTAAAGCCGGAAGAGGGTCGCAGTATGAGGCCAAGAAGGTACTTGGTTACCGGTGATGATGACGATTCAGATGAATCTTATGAACCATCGTTTAGGAGTAAACAGATGCGAAAAAATCGACCAAAAAAGAGTAGAAAAACAAGACCAAACCGAACACCAGAAAAGCGAGTGCCAATGGATATCCTTACCGATGAAGAAAATGATGAAGACAAGGAAGAAGAACTTGATACTAACGAAGGTGCAGACGAGAGCGATGATGAGAATTTCGTGGAGGAACAGACGGATGATAGCGAAGAGGTCACGGCAACGCGAAGTCGTAGCAGGAAACAGCAAAAAGTTCGCGCTGTGGCTGCAAGAAATAATATTCAAGACAGTGAGGACGACATGGATGACGAATACAAAGAAGAGGAGTTCATGATGACAGAAGAAAACAGTCAGCTTGAAACGATTACCGCAGTTGAGAATCTGTTAAATGACAGCTTAAATGTAGCAGAAAACTTAGAAGAAGAGGAAGAAGAGGGAGAGGAGGAGGAGGAAGAGCAGGTTGAGGATAACGAAGACGAGATAGAAGAGGACAACAGTAGTGACTACGTGGCCACAAAACATCAGGTCCACAATTTTGTCGGCGAAAACGACGTTCCGCTTACTCGCAGAACCCGTTATTCTAGCGAGTCCAAAATCACCAATAGTCCAAACAAACACCATAATCTCCGACTTTCTAGTGCCAAACGGCACTACAATGAAGATTCTGATCAGGATGACGATTTTGGTGATGAAGACGAATATGATTATGAAGAGAACAGTCGAGGTAGTTCGAGTACTCAGACTAAAACAACGCGTCGTGCTGTGAAAAGGCCGTACTATGGCGAAGCAGCGAGTGACGACGAAAGCAGCGGTCTTGGGAGTTCCAATGGACAAAACTCTTCTATGTTAGGCTACAGCGTAAGTAGCCGAGGTCGTATTAGGAAGCCAACTCCCAAGGTGTTGTCTGCATTTCGATAACGACGCGCGAATTCCTGACTGGTTTTCGGCGCCTAATATGTTTTTTTTCTTTTTGAGATGCCACACGACGGTGTGGATTTTCTTCGTTTGTACTTTGTAACGTCAATAATGAAGATTTGATTTGAACGTTAAAAGTGAATTTTATTTGAAATTTAATAATGCTTGTGAGGGTTGAAAAAAATGAAAATCAAGTTAGGCGTCGATACCTTAAGTAGCGCTACTTGTAAAATAGTAATACATCTCTGTAATTTTATAAATTATGAATGGCACTCAAGTAAATATAGTATAAGGATTTCAGTGCTGTGGCTTTGACAGCCGCCATTAAACGTTTGTATCATGCTTTTTAAATATTTTGCACATTTGTACATGTAGATAAGTTTGTTCTCCTTTTGTCTACTAAATTATTTTCCTGCTAAAATAATTCAGTGTTAGTCTGAAGTGTCATCAAATCGTTACAGGATTCTCATTTCTCCTGATGTTGAGCACACGAGTGAAAGTTTTTTTAAATGTATCAGTGAATTGAGTGAGTAATTAATTGTACTGAATTCTGTGATGCATTCACAGAGATCTCTTTTACAAAAATAAATTTTTAAGTTTAAGTAAAGTGCAATTCGATGATCGTTTTTCTCGTTTTTTTTTAAAAACTTTCGGCAAATGTAAGCCTTGTCTTTATTTATAAATTGTAATCAACATAAAATAATATTTAAATTATAATTTATACATTACGTATCATCTAATTTATTGAGAATTGTGCAAGAGAATTTTTTCTATATTCTTGTAATATACAATATCTTGTAAAGCAAATATGCAATTAATTTTTATGTAATGTATATTTGTACCATCCAATGATTTTTATTTTAAAAGCATTATTCATTTCTAAATGAAATATTTAAAGCTCTATGATGCCGTTATTAATGATATTCCAATACGACGTGGATATCTAATAATATTAAACTTATGAAAATTTCTTGACAGTATGCAAGTACCAAAAATTGGTATTCTAACATTTCATTTTTTCAAGTTATTTTGTAAAAAGTGCAAATAAATGTGTGAACAATCAAGTTATTTAACTGTAAAATATATCGTTGCTTTTATCCATTATTTAAAAATATATTTGATGTAAAACATTGCCAAAATATTTAAAACTGAAATCACAGTAAAAACGTTTCATTATTAATGAATTGTCTTTCTGAAAAAAAAACTAGAGTTGATTGAAACAAATGATGACAGAGTATCAACTGCATTGCAGTGCCTTTAAGGATTTAGTATTTCTCATGGACTACAGCACTTTAAAGAAAAAAAAAAAAAAAAAAAAAAAACAGTTGTAAACGATAACTCAATAAACAGAAAACTGCCATGAATTATTTCATTTAATAGAAAAAATTATAAAATCTATTACTTATACATTATAAGATGTGAATTAAAAGCATAATCTTTAAGTTTTTACGGTGTTTTTATTTTGCGCAATAAATTGTGTCAACTATCCTGGCGTGAGTAAAAAAGTACGTAAACAAAAATCTAATAGTTCAGTGCTGTTATAAACGCCATTGTGATATTAGCTTAAGACGGCACGAGACAAAAATAAATAGTGAATGATTATTTTTTCATCAAAAAAACAATGATTGATGAAGGTCGTAGATACGTAGCTAACAATGTCAAATTTTTGTTAATTAAATTTTAGCTTGTTGTCTGTAAGAGGTACATCAACTTATGATTTTATTCATCTCTTTTACACCATCATTTGAGTTGATTTATTATTATTTTTTTTTTTATGCAAAAATAACACAACATGTAGATATTAAATACATTGAACAAAGCGTGTAGTATATATACNATATATATATCGTAATATTATAAACAATAATTTGTACGAATAAGGCCTAAGTGTACTTTTTTATGTACAGTGTAAAATTCTTTTGTATATCTCTGGCTAATAAATAATTATGATATTATTAGAATTACATGATCTTACTGGTTATTTGTTCCCTATTGTTAACACACCCAATGCGTTTTAATCATCCAAAGATTTTCCAAAGTCTACACTTTAACCACATTTTTTCCAAATTTGAGAGGATAAAGTATTGTTTTTCGTATTCTTTTAGCTTTTGGCGAAATGACGAGTGCTAATCTTGGAATCTTTGTTCAGCCCTTAATTCGATTTTCCAGGGAAGAAAACATCGACTTTCTAATTGTGAAATCGGCTACCGGGAAAAATTCCAAGAACTCGATTGGCCCAGTACGTGATGAACTTGTACGCTTTCCCAAACGTGCTTTACGCCAAATGTTCAAAATATGAAAATTTCGGAGTAAAGTCCATAAAATGAATGACCAGCGAAAACCACGGACTAGTTCTTAATTTTATCGTAAAAGTCATTAGGCCGCTCCGTATATAAGTCCATTCCTAATTCGTTTCGAAACACAATCGTCGTTCAGCCGGCAACGCGCTCTCGTGCTTATATACACGTAAAAGTGGTGTACTTGCATTTACAGTGTAGTGTACATACTCTACCTTTTTAGACTTTTCGTGAATAATTATTTATTCTCGTCGTCAAAATGGCAGCCTCGATTGGATCGTTTACCGTAGAGAAATTCCGGTTGATAGTGGAAAAAAAACTGCAAGAGTTGCTCGACACGCCGATTAATAGTATAGCCCAGGTAAGAGAAAATTTTTTTTTTAACATTTGGTTCGTTGAAAGTGGCTTTTCGGTAAATTAAAAATCTCGTGTGTAATTATTCGTGGTTTTTATTTTGGAAGAAAAACTATAATTATTGAAATTTACTGAGAACAAAATTAATTGTTGTGATAAGTACACAGGAAATTTTCAAAGTTTTCGGGTGTCAAAAAATTAAAAAAAAATCGAAATGAATTATTTGTATGGAAAAAATTAATACAAGAATGTTAGGGAATTCAAAGCGCGCTTGCAAGCGTTTGTGATTGGCCGTAAAAACTCGCGTTAAAATCTTAGGAAAAAAATACTTTTTGAACATCGAGAGACAATCATTTTTCACGTTTTTCAGTTGAAAATGATTATAATAAATGCCTTTTTATTTTTTCTCATTTCTCGAGCTAAACCTCGCGAATTCACAGATAAAAAAATTCTAAAGTAAACTAAAAATCGCCGAAAAATTTTATCTAAAAAAAGTAAATAAAACCAACTGTTATTGTTCCAAAATTATAAAGCGTTAAAAACTTTGATAGGCCAGCCCAAAAAAATTGTCGTCTGTATCGAGTTTGAGTATTTACTAACTGTACAACTAATTATTCATCAATGTGCCGTGAAAAATAAAATTTTCCAATGTCAAACGACACCCAACTGGGATTATCGCATTGTTTTGTAAAACTCATTATCCAGTGGTTATCCAATTTCAAGAAACATTGTCAGATACCGATTATCCTCAAATATAGTTTCGATAAGAAATTTCAACTCTGGCATTTTACCAAAATGTAATATTGGATTTTAATGACACCGACATGCATGTACAATATACCAGCGGCACAGAAAGATAACGCTTAATGAAACACGATAGCCGAAACGATTTCCTTTGATTTGGCATTCGAATGGCATTTAACGGGACGCAACACGGCCCGAACAATTAATTTTCCAGGAAAACGATTTTCCACGCCTGATGCGCCACATAACCGAGGAAAACTGCCGGTGCACGGACGGCGATTGCAAATGGATGCGCGACATGTTGTACCACGACTGTTGCACCTCAGCGACGGCAGCGGCGGGCGATCGTTACTTCGACTGTTTCGAGTGTTTCTCCATATCGCTGCACTACTGGGGCCACATGCAGCACTGCAACAGGTCGCGGTGCTCCCTCAAGCTGTGCAAGGAGACGAAGATCGCGGCCTCGCGGGTCCACGCGTACGTCATCAACGACGCCGACGAGGACTACAGTTTGCGTAGCGACGACAACTGGACCGGCGCCATGAGCCAGAGTATTCGTGACATTTGGAGGGACGTCGACTCCGTTGGCGAGGATCGTTTGTACCGAGATATGCCCGGTCACCTCCAGAGGCCCACTGGATTCCCGCACTCGAGGCGAAACGCCGTTTACACCGGCTCTTCCGCCGATCCGGCAATACTGCTAATGTAATTGTACACACGATACATTGAGGAAAAAAAAAAAAAAAAATAATTAATTAATTAATTAATCATTGGCATTTGATTACGTGGGTCTGTTCTTATTTCAGGAGCAAAATAGAGGAGGAGGATGACGGCGTGGTGCTCGAGTTGTTCGACCTGACGACCCCCGAGAGCCGAGAAAAATATTGTCAAATGATGATGAGGGAGGAAACAATGGACTGACCAATAAAAAACGATCCGACAAATTTTCCTCGACGAGCATTTGAGTTGGTCCTACTTTGGCCGGTGCACAGGTTCCAGACCAGATGATATATATATGTATTCTGTATGACGAACAAGTATAACGGCTGAGAATGTGTACAATACGCGTATCGTGAAAACACACATGGGCCCGTGGGATCGAGTAGAAACTGAGCTCGATTTTCAGCTTTTCTCGGTACAAAGGTCTCCCTTACCAAAGTTCGCATGAGATTCACATTCTAACGCTGCGTTACTCTGCTTGTAAACAGCTGTACGTGATTGTAGATGCCGCATATTTTTTTACATCGCCGTCGGGGAGGAATGGGCCTATCCATTTTTGTAATAAAAAAAAAAAAAAAAACAGAGCCAAGTTGGTTCTCTTTTATCTCGAAGCTGAACATTATGCTCTTTTACCTTTTAGGCGACGACTTATGCCGTTGTGCCAAACTTTGCTTCGACAGAATTAATCTGTCAAGTGCTTGTATACCGATTTTCGAGATGCAACACTTTTAGGATAATCGGCCTTTTAAATTTTCATTTAACACTTACTGTCTCGTTTGTACGAGTATTTTATAAGCTTCAACTAGGACGATTTTTCGTGTAGCATATGATTTTTCTTCTTCATACGTCGTTCGTGCGATGTAAGATAAAAGTAAGATTAGTCATTTTGGAATAAAACACTTAAAATTTTTTAAAATCAATTTTTAATTTTTCTTTTTCGCGCGACATGCGCTATTTTTATGTCGTACCAAGTTTTGACAAGAATGAGTATTCCAAATTAATCTAAAACAAGTATACATATTTATCTTTGTGTACTATGAGCGAACCAATTATGTAATTTTTATTGCCAAGAAATAAACATAAATATATTTTTTAATGCAAATTTATTTGTTTTTCCGTAATACGATGAAAGTATTTTTCATACATCCTTCAACCTAATAAAACACATTGAAAAGTAAACTTGCCATCGTATCGGAGAAAAAACTCGACTCAGCGATCACATTGAATATCAACAGGCATAAACTACCCTTAACCGAAAAATAAATCCTCCGGGCAAGAACTTTTCCTTACAACTACACCTATACCAAAAGAGGCTTCAAACAAACATATACGTGATTCTAAAATAATGTAAGTATGTATACTTACTCGAGCGCTTGCAGGCTCGGACACGCGTGTGCAGGGCATAAAAGTCATAAAAATTATCACCGCAAAAAGAAACTCAAGTAGAGAATACGAGGAAGGGAAAACGTCCCAATGTACAAGTAATATAAGTATAAAGTATATAGGTTTAGGTACG